GATTTGGTGGGGGGGTTGCCTTGCATATGTCGTCCTCCGGATGTGCAGTGAACCATGTGATGAGCTCCACTATGGCGATAAACACGGCGTGGACGTACCGGTTGGTGTTGGAATTCAGCGGAGGCGTCACCAGACGGTCCTTCAACACACACATGGAGACACACACACTCAGGGCCAGTGAGTGGTGCAGTCAGTCGAGTGGCTGACCCTGGCGGCGTGTTTGCCCGTGTGCTGTTCCGCCTTCTCGCAGAGTGCCTTGTACTTCTTGAGTCCGAGGTACTGCATGAGAGGCGTCAGCTTGTTGAGCTGCTCGGCGATGCTCTTGACGAACTGGCGGCGCACCGAGTCATCCTCCAGCACCACACGAAGACCTGACAGCACAGCGGCCACCACAACATGCGCACATTTCTGGCTGTGCGTATGTGTATGTGTGTGTGCGGACCGTTGATGGACGCGGCGAGTATGAGAGGGTCGGCGATGTGTTCCTTGGCGGGGCCCAGGAAGATGTCCACCACGTGGTAAGACATGCACGCGTCATGCAACGCCTGAGCCAACACACACACAACACACACACAGACACCTGCCCACACAAACTCACTTTTCCCCTCGTTGCCGTGCCTGTGGATTTGACTTCATGATGGCGATGAGCGCCTCGATGGCGGCGGCCGCCGTGCGGGCCTGTGCGATGCTCAACTCACCTGCACCCACACACACACACCGAATGAGTGCACCTGGGTTGGGTCTCCCCTTTCCGCCTGCCCGGTCGCTGACCCATGCTTTTCTGCAGCACGTCTTTGATGTCGTTGATGAGCCGATTGCGGTGCAGACCCTCACGCACATAGAAGCGGCTCGCACCCTCGTCGTACAGAGCCGTGTACCTACACAGAAGCAGACAGACAACGGTAAGCAGACGGCCTTTCTGACTGCGTGTGCACACTTATTTATGTTTGCTCACTGCACGATGCGTAGCAGTTTGATGTATGGCTCTCTGGTCTCGCCCTGATTGATGCCCATCGACTGCAGACTCCCAAGCAGCAACTGGATCACACACATGCTTCCATGAAGGACAGACGTCTTTTCACTGTGTGCGTGTGCGTGTGGGCGTGCCGCCCGCCTGACTTGTGGCACGCCACAGGAGGTGGCCTCCCTTGCGTTGCCCTCCACCGTGACCGCTACAGCTAGCAAACCCAACACGTGCCTGCACATAGACACACCAGTCACAGACGTCCATCCTTGCCCCGCAGCTGGCCACGGAGGTGTTTGTCTCTTGACTGACTGACTCGTTGTTGGGCTGTTCCTTGAACCACTCTACGAGTTGTGGCACAATCTCGCGGTAGGCCACCGCCAGCTTGTCGCCCACAGACAGACCCGCCAGGCCCCTCACAACCACCATACACGACTCGTCCTGGACGGACACACACGTCGATGGGATCGGGTGGGTGTGTGGGGAAAGGTGTGTGTGAGGGTGCCGTGCCTGCAGTGGTTTGGATCTGATTGAGGGGATGATGAGGTCGTCGAGGACGGAGAGCACCTCCCTCTCCATGGCGGGGCCCCCGAGCATCGCCTCACCGAGCGCAAGCAGACACTGCTCACCCAATCCGCCCTTAGTGACCACCGACAACTTGCCCAAACACCTGACGAACGGCCGGACGGACGGGACGGCAGACACTCATATATTTGGTCTGTATTTGTGTGAATGTGTGTGTGTGTATTGTGTGTACCTGAGTGCAATAGATCTGACGGTGTCGTGTCTTTCCATGAGAAGCGTCATCTGCTGGATGAAATTCTCGACAGCAGATCGACGCTGCTGCACACACACACACACACACAGACACAGAGAGAGAGAGAGAGAGAGAGAGAGAAGGACTGCAGGTGCTCATTACGCCCTCTCTCTCTTTCGACACACACGTACGTCGTCGTCGTTGAGTCCTCTGAATATTTCTGTGTATTGGTCGGGTGGGAGTGCCTGTAGCTGGTCGGTGGCGTCGTATATCTGTGACATGTTGCGCACACACCGATCGGGGTTGGACAACGACTCGTCCTGCAACTCTATCAACCTGACAAACATACACACATCCATCCATCCATCCATCCAGGTGTGGATTTGTGTGTGACCTTGGGAGGGGCAGCAGCTGTGCTGCGGCTGCTGCGTCTGTCCTTTGTCTGGGTCTCTGCGCCATGCCCTGCGACAGCCGACGCCGCTCGTGGTACACCTCATCATACCTACACACACACAGTGACATGACACACCAAACCAATAACCTCCATCCATCCGTTGGTGCGGGGTGTGCAGCGCGTGCCTGTCGAGCGACAGCAGCTGCTCCGACTGGATCTCGTCGCGGGTCTCCTTCGTTATCGTCTCGTCATCTGCCGCAGACAGACAGAGAACCATACCATCCACACGCCTCTCCCGCCTCCTTTGTCCATGGCCACCGGCCCCCCCACCGAGTCTCTGCAGCGTCTTGATGGCTTTGATGGCGAATATCTGGTACTCTGGGAACCAGCCGGCGAAGGGGTTGTCCTTGAGCCGCAGATTCTGCAGCTGCTGCAGACCACGCAGCACCTCGTAGCCTTGCGCCACCTACACACACAAGCCGACTCAGAAAGAAAGAGAGATGTCCGTCCACCAGCACCCACATCCATCCATCCATCCGTTCCTTCCCTCTCTCTGCTGACTCACACTCGATGGCACGAGGTCGTATTGGTTGTCACTGAGGTCTAGTCGTTTCAGCCGCGGCGCCTTGGCCACGGCGTCCCAGGAGCCGGTCATCTGGTTGTGGCTGAGGAGGAGTATCTCGAGGCTGGGCAGCCAGTCCAGCGGTGGGATGGTCTTGAGCTGGTTGTGCGAGAGATTCAGCTCCATCAAGGTCGGCAGGTTCAGCACCGGTCGTGTCAGCTGGTTTTTGCGGGCCTTGAGCACACGCAGCTCACGGAACCCCTTGTCCGCCTGAACCACCCCATTAACGTCTGCCAAATTGTTCTCTGATGGAATGGAAGAAAGAGCAGAGGAAACAAACGGTGCCGCCTTCCATGTGTTTCTTGTTTGTTTGTTTGTGTGTGTGGATGGGTGATCTGTGTACCCGACACGTCGAGTGTCTGCAGCTTGGTGAGGTCCAGTCGCCGATTGAGGAGGCCGCCGTCTTCGCCCTGAAGGGTCTCGAGGTAGAACTGCGGCCCGCTGAAGACCAGGTGCTTGTGCTTGCGCCTGAACCAGTCCTGCCCCACGCATTTCAGCAACACCTGCTCAGAGATCTCCTTGTAGCTCTCCCCAGCCATCGCATCCAACAACAAATCGCCAGAGATCTGCGCGCCGTTAAAGGAGCTAGGGCGCGCGTGAAATAATTCCTCAGTGAAATCGGCGCAGTGCAGTGGAAGAGAGGAAATGTCGTGCTGATCAAGGCAGTTGGTCACCGGACCGAGGCCCCGCCCGACGAGCGGCACAAGGACGCGAAGGTGAACAGCACGACGCGACACGACCAATTGGACACGACACGATGGATGATGCAATATGGTGGATGATGGGACGGGCAGGGAGGCAGGAAGGCATAAGGGAGGCCATGCATGCAGGCCAGGGGCAGAATAGCCACACAAGGGACGGCTGTGGCGGGCGGGCGGGCGGATGAATTCATATTTCTCGACAGAAGACAGATGCATTCCTCATTGTTGTGTTGATGCATTCCCATCCCTGATGGCGTCGTGTTGTGTTGTGTTGTGTGTGCGGCAGGACCTGTTTGATCACCAAGTTTATCACGGAAATGCTGAGCCCGCGGCCCTCGCTACGCCCATGCTGCCGCCAGAATGGCGGTTCACCGTGACCAAGACCTTCTGCCACTTCAGCCAGCGGCCAGCACCCACACGAAGAGCCTCTCTACACCGGCACCATCGCACGGCGGTGAGAATTACCCACTGGCCCACACTGCTCAACAGCAAGGCGTGGACGCCAAAGTCCTCGGCTCCCAAGTCGGGAGTTGCCGCCGCAATGGCAGCTTGTTATCGTGGAGGCGCTCTCTCACCGAGACCCGAACAGCCAGGCGCTCAGGTGAGTCAGTCACCATTCGCACCAACCAGTATGTTTATGCATGTCTCTGGTTGGTGTCGTTGTGTGGATGCGCTGCCTGCAGGAAGGCTCTGGACAGCCCATTGAGATACAGACAGCCCATCCGAGCAGCAATGCGGCCGACGAGGGCGGACAGGATGGCGAGACGGCCGCAGACGGAGGAGCCAAGGGAGAGGGTGAGGGGTGGGAGGCTGTAGTACTACCAGTGCCCAAGGCGGATCTGTCGATGGCCGCTAAGGCCGGGCAGCGGGGTGTTGGTGGCGGGGCGAAGGGCGACGTGAAGGACAACGGATCGCAGCACAATGAGGACCACCGTTAAGGTGAGGAACGCACACACACATGCACACGCACTGGAGCACCACTCATTCATTGTGTGTGTCCTATGTATCCTGTTGTGTCGTCCTCTCCGTTGCCACTCACAGGTTCTTCTTTGGCGAACGAGGAGATGCCGCCGTCCCTCCCGAGGTTCCCCAGCAACCACCCCAGCAGCTGACCGAGGAGGCGCAGGGCCGTGGCAGCAATGGCGCTTCGGGCGACATGGAGATACGACCCACCGGCGGCAAACGGCATGACTAAATGGGCCTCATCAGGGGGCCGCCGCAGCTGGCCGAGGAGGTGCGTGGCCATGGCAGCAACCGTGCCCTGGGTCGTGTGGAGATGGGACTCACTGGTGGCCGACAAGGCGACCGAATGCCCCCCATTAAGGTAACTAACTTCTTGACTGAACGGAACGACCTCTCGCGCATCTGCCCGCCTTGTGGGTATGTTTGCAGTTTGTGCTCGAGTCCCAGCCGAGGGCCGCCGGCTCCATTGAGCCGCCGCAGGAGCCCCACACTCGTGAGGAGAAGGCGCCTATGCTCGTCGAGAAGGTCGGTCACGCACACGACTGGATCCATACATAGCCACTGACAGACACACAGACACACAAGCTGTGCATCTGTTATCTGTCTCTGTCTGTGTCTGTGTGGACCAATTGGTGTGGACGGATCTGATGTGTGTGTATGCAGGCTGCCGCCCCCAAGCCCTGGCCGCTTCTCAGGGAGGAGAAATACCCGGTTTGCAGCTGGCAGGAGCGGTGCCACAAGTTCATCCAGTCGCTGCCTTGGGTCGTCGAGAAGGTGCAGCAAACGTGCGGCCAGGGATTCCAGATGCTGCTCAAGATGGGATACAAGGGCGGCGCTTTGGGCAAAGAAGGATCAAGTAGGTCCGGACACACAGCAACACACACACACAGCACGTGGATGGACCAGAGAGAGAGGGCGAGGGAGGGGCCGTTTGATATTCATGTGGGTGTTGTGTGTTGCTGGCTGGCTGGCTGGCTGGCTGGCTGGCTGCAGGCCGTCATGTCAATCCCCTGGACGTGTACAGCCGCCCGCGTGGCCTCGCTCTCCAGGAGGACGAGTTGAGCATCCGGAGCTGTGTGTCACCCCCACCCCCCACCGACATGGGCGAGCGTGAGGTGGCCGAGATGATCGCCATGATGGCCGCAACCAACGACGCCGAGAGCGGGAGCTGCTGGGACATCGATGTCTTCATCGACAGCTTCATGTCCGCCTTCCCGGACCTCAACTGGGGCGCCGACATCATCGCCAGCTGCGGGTGAGCAACTGACACGACCAGCCCTTAGGTCGCGACCAACAGCAGCGGGCCGGGCCTGTCCGTGTGGGTGTATCTCGACACACCCGTGCTGTCTCTGCCTGACGAGAAGGCGTTCAAGCTGATCATGGCCGCCCACCAGAGGGCGGCAATGGGCGCCCTGTTCCCCCTGGATGTGGTCGTCGGCAAGGTGTGGGACAACAAGGAGGCCCAGCTGGACTTCCTCCGCCACGCCATCCACTTACCCTTCGACCTCTTTACCCTTCCCCCCGCGTGCCACTGCTGTCGCCAGTGGAGGGTGTGGAGGGATCGGCCATCCCCAACACGGCGTGCACGCAGCTGCGCGAGACGCTGCAGGCCATCGGTTGCGGGCCCGAGTTGACGGAGAGGGTGATGACTTTGTGCCGCCACGCCATGCAGCAGTCCTGCCCCGCGTTGCCCCCGCAGTGTGCTGCGCGTGGATGGACCCCTGTGTGTGTGTGTCTCCCCTGTGTGTGTGTGCACGGTGTCGTTGGGGGCTCACTCGGCTGTCCCCGCAAGTCGGACCATCGCTGCCTACACCTTATATCCCGTTCGTCCTCTTCTAAGCAGCCGACATCGTCAAGTTCAAACCAACCGTCAGTCAGAGAGAGAGACACACATACTCACCTCGCACACGGAGACATTCATGTGTGTGTGTGTGTGTGTGTGATGGCTGGCTGCAGTGTTCACACATTCGTCAGTCCAAGACCAAGAACTACAACAGCACCACACCACGCAGACTCGTGACCGTCACGCCGAAGATGGCCTGACAACGACTACACCAACAGCAACTTCGCCCATCCATCGCCACTCGGCATCGCTGCCCTTTGGGCCGATCACGATAGGTGGCCGACATCGGGCTGCGTGCAGGTGCTGTGGGTGTGGCTGGTGGCGTTCATCGCGTTCGAGGGGGGTGATCGGAGGATCGGGCGATGGTGTGAATGACGAGTTGTTGTTCATAGCGGGTGGGTGGGCTGACTGCGTACGGTTTGGTTTGTTGTTTCGGGAGGCATATGAATCGGATCCACAGTTTCATCTTCATCTCCTGTCTGTCTGTCGTTGGTCGTCCTAAATGTGTCTCTCTCTGACCTCGCTGCTGGATGGAGTGATTTGTCCACCCACTCCATGGATGCCCCCGGCGCACCACTCCACCCGTCCCTCTCTCCAAACGGCACTCCCGTGTGCCCATCCATCCATCCATCCATCTCGCCATCTGCTCAACCTGGTGCAGATGACTGACACACGCACCCCCTCACGTAGGGTATGGAAGAAAAATCACTCCCGCTCAACACAACCAACACAACACACGCATCCATGCTATGCAATCACTTCGTGAAGCGTCCATCGGTCTGGTCTGATCAGCCCCATCGGGCGGACCGTTGGTCTGTCGTTCGTCAAGCTAAGCTTTCTTGACGGCTGACTTGTTGAGCCTTGCGCCCTTGATGGCCTCTCTGTCTTGGTAGCAACGGAACGAGTCGACGATCTTCTGCAGTGTGGGGCCCACCTTGCGGAACTTCTCCTCCGTCGTGGCCGTGAACAGACACTCCACCGACTTGTCTGTCGTCGTCACCGCACCAACACCACGTCTGCACCGCACCCACACACACAGATAGACAGACAGACAGACAGACAGAAAGACAGACACAAGTGCGAGCGCCCTTGTGTGTGTGTTCTGTGGCTCGTCCGTCCGTCGTACCTGTATACTGTGAATCCCGCGCCCGTGGCCAGCTCATATCGGTAGTTGACGACCATGTACTCATCGCTGGAAGACGCCTCGGCCGCATACTTGCTGAGGATCTTCAGGCCGCTGCTCGTCTCGCCCTTCTGAGATATCCAGCGGCCAACCAAACCCTCCCAGAAACTCATCTACACAACACAACACAACACACACAACACACACAACCAAACGCAATGATGGCATGTGGCACAGTCACGTCACCGTGCTGCGCCTTCCCTCGCTCCATAATATACTCACCGGTTGGTCTTTGAGTTTGCCCTTCGCGCCGGTGTCGTTAGGCACCACGAACAGAGCAGCTGTTTCCGTCTTCTGGTTGCCTGCGGTGATCGTGCCGCTCTGCCCATTCTTGTCCACCACAGGCCGAACGACCAGCCACGAAGACGGGTAGACGAACTGCACAATCACGGGGTCCCGCTCGCGGACCCTGCCGTAGATCTCCGACTGATCCAGCACGTCCACCAGCAGATTGAATCCCTTGGGCACGTCATCCGGCTTGACCGGCGGCAGGCCGGCCACCTTCAGGAGCTTATTCTGCTTGTCGAACGGCTCAGCAGAGGCGGGGAGAGGGGATGTCAGGAAGGGCGCGACGGCAAGAGGCAGTAGTGCACGGGCGGCGCTATCGAAGTGCTCTCGCCGGGGCTGCATGTCCGGCGGTGAAGATGCAGTCGCTGTGCGCTGCGACCGTCTTGCAAGGCGGGAGGGGAGGCGAAATGACAGAGCTGGCGGCGGCAGGGAAAGGAACAGAGCTGCAGCGGCCAACAGGCGCAGATGCCATTGGCCGCATTGCCTTGCCAGATCTGAAAGATGGCAGAAAGGTGATCAGCTCATCAAAAGCATGCAAATTGAGCTCGGCTTCCTGCTGCATTACCTGGCCTTCTTCTCCTTGACTCCATCACGAAGTTTTTCACTTCGACCTTAGAGTTAGAGCGGAGACCGAGTTACTGGGGCAAAACCGAGTTACTCGGGCGAGATCTACGAGACATGACTTGTGATGCGCGTGGACCCAAGCTTGCGTGTCCATGAGACCTCCGTCGTCACTGAATGCTTCTTTCGGCTTCGTCACATTCCTACTCGCTACCCCGAGCTACTGCTGATACTCCAACTGGTTATGAAAGCCCACCTCGGGTGTGATGAGCCATCTGGCGTGCCTTCCCTCACCATCTGACGAGACACCATCTTCCCGGTGATGATGACCGAGCAACGTGACGTCATCCAACAAGTGCCACACAGTGAGTTGTGGTACAAGATGGCCGATGGCATCGCCACCAACCCTCCTCGCTTCAGCGGCAAAGAGAGCGACTACAACAGCTGGCGTCAGTCGTTCGCTGGCATGTTCTATGGCATCGATGGCATGGCCAAGTACTTCCATCCGTCAACCGATGACGAGCTGTCGGTGACGAGTCGCTCACAGATGTCCAACGCCGCAACATGAGGATGGAAAGATGGATGTTGTGGAGAGCACTGGACAGGGCCACAGAGGGCAAGGACTGTCAAGGAACGGTCCAGGAGGCAACCACCACACACGATGGGTATGTGTCTCTGTTGGCTCTATGTCGCAGGTACAAGCCGAGCATCGAGCAGAGGCGCACACAGACAAATGTCGAATACGACAGGTGGGATTATGACGAGAGCAAGGGCTTCATGGATAATCTTGGAGACCTTGACCGTCTCTCACTTGCCGTCAACAAGGCGTATGGTACAGAAAGGCGCACACAAGACGACATCGTACAGAAGATGATCGTGCGGCTGGGTGCTCACAGAGCGAACGCAATGTGTGCTTTTCTGTGGAGTGTGTTCATCGGGCAGGTGGACTTCACTTACGAAAAGATGCGCCGTATGGCCGCCCGCATTACTGCGGAGCTCAGTGACGGTACGCATAGTCCATCCGACCCGCACACCCTGTCTGGATGCAATACAGGACAGGGAGCATCAACTGTGGCATCATTGCCCGTTGCTGGTGCCGCCCAAGAGCGCCGGCAGCTATTCTGCCGTCTCTGCTCGACACGACGAAAACGTCCGCTGTTCAATCACACGACAGATGAATGTCGAGTGCTCGGCCGTATGCTGCAAGAGATGCGAGACAGTGACGATGGATCTGAGCTCGACGAATGAGGCTCTACAAGACAACAGCGCACTAGCTGGCCACCCAAGAGCTCACGAAGACAGAGGGGTGTAACGGGCGAGATCTACGAGACATGACTTGTGATGCGCGTGGACCCAAGCTTGCGTGTCCATGAGACCTCCGTCGTCACTGAATGCTTCTTTCGGCTTCGTCACATTCCTACTCGCTACCCCGAGCTACTGCTGATACTCCAACTCTTAGCTCGCATTCCTATTCGAAGCTCGCAGTCTTGCCACAGGATCCGGAAACTGCTCGTCTTGTCGTAGGATCCGGAATACGGAATAGGCTCAACGAAGATATATATTCGAGTTGAGTGCCAGCAGGAAAAGCCTTTTCTCTGTCGCCATTTGTATCAGCGATATACGATGCCCGTTGCCGGAACTACCAGCACCATGTTCTCGTCCACTATCGCCCTGGGGCGTCTGCAGGAGGCCTGGAAGCGCATGGACGACTCGCACTTGCGCGTGGACGCCATCTTCGGCCGCCCCTCCGTCCAGCGCGCCAGCCCCACCGCCATGCTCACCACCATCGCAGGAATGGCCCCCGAGAAGCAGGTATGTCCACGCCGAGCACATGCCCCCACACAGGAGATTCCGATTACCTGTCATTGCTGACTGACTTGTGGGCGTTCAGATGGCGGCGCCCAGCCAGCTCAAGCATGAGGCGGTCGACGTCACCGAGGCCATGGTGGGCAAGGACACTGAGTTGCGCCGGTGCAAGGACAAGGACATGCAAATCACTCTAACCACTCTGACTGGTACATACTCGTCAGATACACGGACATGTGCGTATGGCCAGCATCTGTATCACTGGAGATACCTGTAGTGTCTCTCTTATTGTGCATGTGTCGTGTCAGGAAAGCATTTTGTTCTGGACGTGAGTGCGTACGACACTGTTGAGGAGGTCAAGGCCAAGATTCACGACAAGGAGGGCATCCCGCCGGACCAGCAGCGGCTCATCTTTGCTGGGTCGCAACTGAAGGACGACCAGCTCCTCGGCAACTACAACATCCAACACATGGCGCACCTCCAGCTCGTGCTGCGACTCCGCTGTAGGGACACCTGGCTGCCTGCATGGTACACACACAGAGGGTCTCTGATGGATTTTTTCTTCATTCCATCTGCTCAGGCGGTATGTTTCACATCACCAGTGGTCGTGAGGGCTGGGGCTCGGCCGAGATGGCCGATGAGGAGCGCCAGAGGCAGGAGCAGCGGGTGGCCATGGCCAAACAGCGGCTCGCCGACCTGGGCTTTGACTTCAACGATGTGGAGCTCATCGAGGAGGCCATCAACAATGACAGCGCAATGGAGGCCGCGAAGGGCTGCAAAGAGGACGGCTACGGACAGGCGCTCATCGATGTCTGGAGCAACAACGAGGAGGTGAGCCAGACGCCACACACACGCGGAAGGAAACAGACACACGGGGCTGTGTGTGTGTGTGCTGTGCGTTGTTGTCATGGTCAGGTGCTGGAGAGGGTGTATCACTTGACGGCGGCGTTTGAGAAGATGAGCACCATGAGCGACCTACTGGTCAAGCGGCACTCCATCTAAACACACAACACGACACATTTACAAGGTGAGAGAATGACGGCCCCCATACTCTCACATGTGCTCAGCTATCTATCTTTGCTCTCACTGTGTGTCTGCAGAAGAATGCGGTGCCCTGCCGGCACCGTGTACCACTGCTGTTTTTTCTATCTTACTTGACGACTTGAGTGATCGACTGCACGGTCTGTCTGCAATGCTCGCGTGTGCTGTGCGGGAGCTGCGGTGTGCTGTGAGGGTGCAGACAAACGGAGGGCTTGAGGCCTCGAACGGTCTCGAAGTTCTTCTCGTTCTGCTCGCGCACACCCAGAGCGCTGTCGTGGCTTGAATGCACTCGTCCCGTCCGGCACTGCGTGTGGACATGGTGGCAAGTTTGCTTTGTTTCTTTCTGTCCGTTGAGAGAGAGTGCTGTGATTGAGTGTGCACTGTATTGTGCTGCACGATGTGTGTAAGGCCTCCCCCCTCCCCTCCCCTCCCCTCCCCCTCCTGCCGCCCCCCCTTCATCGTGTTTTTTGGATCGCTGGTAGATTGACGATGCGTCCTGGCCTGGCGCATGTCATATGTGCATTCATTCATTCATTGGAGCATCCATCCATCCCATACGTGAGTTGAGTGAGGGACGAGTCACTGTGGTGTGGATGGGATGGGATGGCTGAGTGGGCAAGTGAGCAATTGGGGCGAGTAGGGTACGTGCTGACAACTTGCCTCTCCACGCGGGGCTGCAGACACCAGCGGGAGTTAAATGACTCCCGCCAGAGGCTGCTTGTCCAGCAGGACAGGTCTGTTGACAGTACGCACCGCCTGAAATACCCCTGTCAGGAACTCTCTGGTGGACTGACTGACTGACTGACCCATGAACGGTGAAGGACAATGTGAACGACTCGTTTCCGACTGACGGCACTGGCAAGCGGCAGGGCGACTTGAATGCTAGTGTTGTTTTTCAACATTGAATTACGTGTCCGAACACCGATACGACACGACACGACACGACACGCGCCGCCGCATATATCCTATGCCATCACGGCCTAGGGTGCTCCCTGACACCGCTCCAAACTTCCTGGCTTGCCGAGAAATTGAAGCGGATTGAGCCCTGAAAGGGGGACGACCAGACGCCTGATTGAAGCGGTAGACGCTTGCGGATGTCGGTGGAGCGCTGGTATCGGAAGCGGGAGTGGGAGTGGGGGATGCTTACTCGGATGGAGGACTGCGCGACGATGAGGGAGGTTCAAGAGAGTATGGTAGAGTGGTACCACGTGTACTCTGGCGCACAGCCACACGAGATCCAGTTCGAAGGACACTTTCGCGTCAACCCCGACGACAAACCCGACGTGTTCTTTGCCGAACGCGAGGGCTTCCTGCGGACCAAACCGATCGTCTTCTACAGAGAAGTGCCAGACGTGTCGGAAGGTACGCTCGTGAGTGACGTGATGGACACACACCGGCAATCCAAGTGCGTGTAGAATGACACTCTCTCCATCGTCTGTGTATGTGTTTCCATTCAGCGGCCAACGGTACGCCTGTCAGCGCAAAGGAGAACAGTGACACAGGTACGTACCTGAGCGCGTGCCGTCCGGGCGGACGGACAAGCGCTCATATGTGTTTTCTTGTTCTGGCTGACTGGATGCCCTCACTCAGCTGTGGCCGTGCGGGCTGGCACAGTGGCTCGAAGGAGATGCGACGAGTCTCTCTTACAGGAGGCCATGAAGGGGGGTGACGGGCGGAGTGACGAAAAGGTGGAGAGGAAGAAGCAGAGCGAGTGTGTTATCATGTGAGCTGGCCAGCAGCTCGTTGGCTGGCTGCGTGTATATATATATACATCTAGCGTTGCCCCTCGGGTGGTGACCTTTCTTTTGTTGACTGGTTTGGGTTGGCTGATCCGACGTCAATTTGTTGTAATGCAGACTCTGTCAGGGATGCAAGCCAATGAACACCACGCCAGCCCACGCCAGCCCACGCCAGCCCACGGCTTTTATGTCGGGTTTTTTTCCGTGTCGTGTGTGTCGTGTGTATCATGTGTGTCATGTCATGTGTCATGTGTGTGCGGATTGGTTTCCGACACAGACAGACATGGGGCGTGCCACGCGCATTTATCTACATGAAGCCCATCACAAGCTGCATTGACGAAGGCCTCCCACAGTGACACGTGCCAACACACAAAGTCATCATCGTGAGAAGATTCGGTTGAACAACTGACTCGTTTCTGACGGGCATTGGCAAGCGGCAGGGCGACTTGAATGCTAGTGTTGTTTTTCAACATTGAATTACGTGTCCGGACACCGATACGACACGACACGACACGCGCCGCCCATATATGCTATGCGGCCGATCCACCCACTCATTCTCACTGACTGACAGGCAGTGTCGATGCCACTGGATGCATCGAATCGATCCGTCATAGCCACCGTTCTCCTTGTCCGTCCATCCCATCCATCCATCCTTCCTTCCACCACACACGCGGCACTGATATCAGTCAGTGTCTCGAATTGCGACATGCAGACAGACAGACAGACAGACAGACACGCAACACACACAAGACCCGGCCATACGGCCTTGGGCAGCAGGTCAGACAGACAAGACAGATCACGGCAGACAGTGATGGGCACAGAGAGGAGGGGCCGCACCGCAACAGCTGACCCGTTCCCCATGGATTGAACAGCAACAGAGAAGAAACGATTGGGGCTGGTTGCTTTGTGTGTGTGTGCCTTTGGCTGACATGAATGACGTGGATGCAATCGAGTCACGCACATGCAATCGAGAGAGCGACAGAAGGAGGGCACTGAAGGCACATGCAGGAAGGAAGAAGGAATAGGGACCCCTCACTCCCTCCCTCCCTCCCTCCCTCACGTAAATATGTCTGCCAGTGGGCTTTCTGTCTGTGAGGCAAAAGGCATAATGCCCTCTGGTACAAATCAGCTTGCAAGTGGGTAGTGTCACCTTTGCCCGCCTCCCTCCCTCCCTCCCTGGCTCCCTCCCTGGCTGGCTGCTTATTATACGTCTTGTGGATCTCTTTCCGACCCCATCGACGCAGCTGGCTGGCTGCACTGCGTTCGCCAGGCTCCCCCCTCCCTCCCCTGTTTCCCCTTCCCCTCACCCCCACCCACCCCCGGGCCGAATGTATTGTTTGTTATGTAACAAAAGAGCGGCGCAGTGTTTTCGCTGCGCGTCATGCCATCCATGCACTCACTTTCTGTCAATATCGCCATCATCCATCATTCTCACTCATAACGCGCACACCGCCCTTTGACCGGCATGCATCGAAAGAAAAGTAGCAGGCAGGTCGGTGTGTCGGTATACAGGCCTTTTCGCTAGAGAGGGAGACGAGACGAGACGAGACGAGACGAGACGACAGGAGAGGCCTGCCTTCCTGTCAGTCAGTCCTTGATTGATCCATTGATGTGTCAATCAGTCAGTCAGTCGTTCGTTAATTATGCACACAAAAGACAGACAGGCCCAGCATACATAGCGTACACAACACAACACAGCCGAAAAGAGATCGATCGCCTTTGCGAACTGCAGCCACAGCCAGCCGCCCTCTCTCTCTATAAACCATACCATCGACTCCACCCCACACCCCTCGCCAAGCCATCCATCCATCCATCCAACGTGCACATCCATGCAAGCCGAAAAAGGATTCGTCCAAAACACGAGCCCTCCCCTCCCTCCCTCCCCTCCCTCCCTCCCATGCCTCCCTGGTTTGCTGCAGCTCCCTCGCATATATATTGGCTACATCGGCTTTGTATGTAGACAGACAGAAAGGTAGACTAGACCCTTGTTTCCTTCCTCCCTTAATTAATTAGTCGGCACATACACGCATTCCCGCCTCGATGCAGCCAGCCACTAGGCACTGACCGCAGCCATCCATCCATCCATCCACACACCCGCACACCCGCACAGAGATAGATGGGCATGCGTATGTGCACCTAGGCATGGGTATCAGCCATTCGTTGATCGGTCCAATGATGGATGCTTGACACGTTCCCCACTCCGTTCCCCTTTCGTTTTCGCCGGTCTGTCCGTCTGTCTGCCTGCCTGCGCAGCTGCCTGCCTGTACACAACACCCACTCACCCTCTCACGCAGGCAGGCAGGCAGGTAGGCCATCCATCCATCCATCAGACAGACAGACAGACAGACGAGACGCACAGGAAAGAAAACAGAAAAGGAAACGCCACCCGACCCGCCAGCCCCCACAGGCAGACGGGCAGAGAGACAGCCGAAGAAAACCCACAACACGCTGGCTGGCTGCCGAGCACAGCACACCACAGCACAGCCTAGCAGGGCCGCCGAGAAAGGAAAAACGAGTTGCGAAACGTTTGTTTGATGCAGCCACCCGGCCGGCCGGCCGGCACTCGCTAAGAAGGCCGATGTCAGCTGAGATCATCTACCACTACCGTACTGTCAGCAGACCCTCCCTCCCTCCCTCTCTCTCTGTCCCTCCCTCGCTCCCTGCCTGGCGGCCTCACTGGTTGCGTGAGGGCGACTCCTCTTTCGGCAGTTCGTCATCGCCGCCGCTGCCGGTGCCATCGTGCCGGCTTCAACGGCCGTCGGGGCGCTGCTGTGTCGGGAGGGGTACCATGGCGGCGGCCGCTGCGATGGACGGGCTCACACCCCTGGACACTGCGATCTGCAGCAATCTGTCTGGGTCGTGGGGGCGGGGGTCTGCCGTCGCGGCGGTGTTGGTGTTGCTGCACTCGTCGAAGTGGCAGTAGAGACAGCGGATGCCCTTGGGGCACTCCTTGGCCGAATCACAGGGGGTGCACAGACCTACAGGTGAGCCGGAAACAAGGCAGGCACACACGAGATCATATCATCCATGCCATGCCGCACCCCACCGCACGGGGGGCTTTTCTCGTGTGTGGTATCGTGTCGTGTCGTGGCGCACCTGAATGGTGGTGGATGGATCCCACCGAGAGGATGTTGCCGTCGCGGTCCTGGGGCAGCTTCGACAGCAGGTCCACCGTCAGCTTCTCCAGCGGCAACACGTTCGTATCCTCACACACACCCACATGCCCCTGCTGCTCCCCCTGCTGCTGCTGCTGCTGCTGATGCTGCTCCTGCTCACCAACGCCCACCTCCCCCTTGCCGCCCACGGAGGCGAAGAGGCCGTCGAGTACGCCCTTGGTGGCGGGCGACATCTCATTCTCGCCGCCCCCGTGATGGTTTCCCGCGCCCTCGTCGGCCAGCCGTCCGTCGAGCAGTCGATCCAGGCACAGTTTGGTCTTGCCGGTGTCGGGCTTGGCGCGCGATGTGGTGTGGGGGAGCGGCGATAGGAACTGCTCGTTCGACGCCGTGTCGTTGTCATCAGGCGACTTGCTCTGCGACACGGGCGACACGAACTGGACGTCGGAGTCCCTCGCCAGGGTGGTGGTGGTATCGTCCTTGCCACTGGCCGCCTGATTGTCTTGGTGGCTCTGGATGAGCTGGTCGAGCAGCGCGTGAAGCTGTGCGTGTGAGTGGACGGTGCCGACGCCCCCACTGCCGCTCTTGTGCTCTGACCCCTGGATGGGCCGCTGCTTGCCGGACACTTGCTGGGGCTGGGAGGACGACCATGGAGGACGCCTGAGCAGCTCTGATACGGGCGGTGGTGGGGGAGGGGGTGGAGGAGGGGGCGGCGGGGGAGGGGCCTGGTAGCTGCAGAAGAAAGAACAGGCAGACAAACATCACACACAAAAGACATGAATCGTTTAGTCGAAGGCTTGTCTATCGGTTTGTCTGTGTGTGGTGACTCACCGCTGCAGCTGTGCGTTGATGGCCTCCAGTTGCTGCTCATGGTACTCCTTCAAGTTCCTCAGCTGCTCATAAGACAGCCCAGTGGTGGGACCCACTTGCGAACTCCCCGCCGCACCACCCACATTGCCACCGCCGCTGCCCTGCGATGATGCCGATGTCACTGATCCCGCCACGTCGAGCTGCCCATTGTCGCGGCTGTTGCGATTGTTCGTCGTGCGATTGCTCTCCGGCGAGGGCCGTGCTGGCGCCGCCCCGTTGGCCGGCGTGGCTGTGCTGGCGCCCTCGAGGCCTCTGAGGAGCTCGTGTGCCTGCTCGGAGAGCGTGAGCAGCCCCGGCCGGCCGCTCTTGGCCTCAGCCATGAGGGACGACATAGACCCATCGGCCGACGGATGGGCGGAGGAGTCCTGGTAGGCCCGCTGCCCTCGCGACGCACTGGCCCCATCGACATCCGTGCGCCACTTGGTGCTGCTGCTGCTGCCGGCACCTTCAGTGGTCTTGGGTTGGGGTGCGGTGGTGGTCTGCGGCGGTGTGTGTGATGTGAGGATGACGTGCTGCTCACGACCGCCGAAGAAGCTGGCAGCGTGGGGATTGAGGGTGGCGCGGAAACGGGGCACCGACTCTTCTTCCTGGGGCATGCGGGAAGCAGACCGATCCGTCCCTTGCGGTGTCTCTGGCTGCTGCTGCTGCTGCTGTTGGGGGCTGTTCTTGTCCGCCCCTGCCTCGGTCGGGGTGGATGGGTTGGTGGACAGCAGGTCGACAAGAGAGGACAGGAGTGCCGTGGCCTGGGGGTCGCTGCCGATGAGCTCCTTGAGATAAGACATGGTGTCCTGGGGAGAGGCAGACACCGCATCGCTGCCCGCACCCTCCTGCTGGGAGTCGGCAGTAGCCTGGCCGTCGGTGGCTGGCCCCACGATTGCGATAGCGGCGTGTTTGTCGGCTGCCGTGTTGCCCTCCGTCCCGGCCTCAGCAGCTGCGATGGCCGACGACGAGGTGTCTGCAGGACGGAATGAGCCCGACAGCGACGTCTTGGCATCCTCCCCCTTGACAGTGGCGGCTTCTGTCGCGCCCTTGCCGTCAATGAGGTCCACGAGTGACAGGAAGACGCCCTTCCCCTCTCGCTCTCCCCCCTCTGGCGTGTTGGTCTTGCTGGTGGTGCTGGGTGGGTTCTGGGTCTGGTTCTGGTTCAAGCCCTGGTCCTGCCGGCGACGGCCTTTCATGACAAGTGTCACTGTTGCAGGTGACCTCTTCCACAGCCGCCGGCCCCGCCCATTGTCCTTGGCAAACCCGTTGTCCTCGTACGGGGGCGGCATTGTCGCACGATCCGGCTGGGCAGCCGGTGACACCGGCGAGCGGCGGGCGGGATCCTCCCTCACCCCTCGCTCCGCCGCAGCCGGGGTAGGGAGGACGCCCGCCGCAGCCGGGGCAGGGAGGACGCCCGCCGCCGCCGGGGTAGGGAGGACGCCCGCCCCCACCCGGAGTACCACCGGTGGCCGTGTCGGTGCAGCACCAGCAGGCCTGTTCGGCCGCGCCAGGGGCCTGTTGAGCACTCGGTGAGGTAATGGACGGAGAGGGGACCGCGCTGGCGGTTGGTCGGGCATGCTGCTGGCGCCCGGTGAGGGATGCTGGGTGGCGAAGGGGTCGGGGGACTGCATGTAGGTGGGCTGGCTCTGTGTGTGGGTGTAGCTGCTGCTGCCGCCGTAGCTACCCGCCGGGCTGTGGCTGTGGCCGTGGCTGGCCAGGTGGTGCATCTGGTGGGGGTTGGGACTGGTGTTGGTCTTGTTGATGCTGCTGGTAATGTTGTTGTCCTGCCACGGCGAGCGGCACAGTGTGCTGTCGGGCGAGTAGCCCTGTCGTTGCTCCTGCCGCTGCTCCTGGGGCAATGCCAACTCGAGGAACAGCTGTGTGGTGCCGGCCGGGTTTGGCTGGAAGTTGGCTGCGTTGGCAGACAGCCGACTGGTGCTAGTGGCCGTGTTGGCAATGGTGCTAGAGGTGGCGGTGGTGGGTGTGGTTGGTGTAGGTTTGACGGCGGCGGCCGCAGCAGCCATGGCGGCAGCTCGGTTGGCGGGGTGGTCCGGGTCTTGGCGGGATCTGTTTCGGCGCTTGGCCTCGTGTTCGAAGTGGCAGAAGAGGCACCGCATCCCGTTGGCACAGCCCTTCTTGGACACAAACACACACGGCTTGCACAAGCCTGACACGAACAAGAGAGATACCATGACAGCACAGCCCGTCTTGCCTGCCTTGTTCCTCCCGCTGACCTCGTTCGTGCAGAAGGGATCCGACGCTCATGATTTCGCCCGTCTTGGTCCTGGGCAGCTTCATGAGCTCACTTATCACCTGGGGCGTCAGCGTGTGCGGCCCCACTGCATTCTTCAGAGCCACGGCCGCCACTCCGGTGGTACTCTGATCCCCCGCCGCCGCCGCCGCCTGCTGCTGCTGCTGCTGCTGTTGCTGCCCTGGCTGCTGTTGTTGCTGTTGTTGGATATGCTGCAGACCATTACCCTGCGGCTGCTGGTTGTCGTGCTGCTGGAAAGAAGGAGCATTCTGGTCGGTGTTGTGTTGCTGCTGCTGCTGCTGCTGGTGGTAGTTCCCCTCCACCACCTCTACTTGCACAGCAGGAGAGTCCACACGCGGCTGCTCCGCCGCCTCATGGCGGCTGACCTCCTCTCCCCCACCCACAGCCGCCGTCCGATCGGAGCTGTCTGCAAAGGACCCGCTCGTGCGATCGGTGCTGTTGCTGGTGGTGGTGGCGCTGTTGTCAGCGAAGGGGTGGCTGGGAAGGGTCTGAGCGACCGTGTCGTCCTTGTGGTCTGTGTCTGGGCAGTCGAGGAACGGCGTGACGACCCCCTTTGGCATCTGTGCGGACAGGAGGCTGCCCCTGTCGCTGTCCTGCGGGCTGGGGTTGCACGTCCACACACTCTCCCACGTCAGGCCACTCGCCGTCTTGCCAGCACCACCACCACTGCCCGACAGCACGGGGGAGTACAGAGGGGGCTGGGACGTCGGCGGCATCGCATCGCTCCCGCTCGTGTGTGAGGTGACGGCTGACGGCTCCAGAAGTGCCAGAGGCGTCTCAGCCATGCCCGCCGTCATGCCGGGCGAGAAGCGGTCCGCCAGCAGGAAACTGCTGGGGGTCGGGGATCCCGCCACCTGACCACACAAAACACCCAGACAACACGCAGACACAGTGATGCGGTGCGAGCGCTGTCGCAAGATGTGGCATACCATCTGTGGTGACTGACCTGATTGGGGCTAGATGAAGTGTTGGCGGGAAGATAGGGAAGGAACGAGGGCGCTTCTGCACTGCTGGACGCCATCAAGTCAGACGAAGAGCCTCGGCGGAGCCAAGACGGCGGAAACGCGTCACTCGAGAAGAAGTCGAGACACGCGAGCGGCCGGGGCGCTCCTCGCTCAGCTTGGCGTCCGTCCTTTGACCGGTGCGTAAGTCAAAGGTGGCTGAGAGAGACTGCCAGTGCCACTGCCTCTCTGATCTGCTCGACACGACGTCGGAACAAAGTGGCGCCAAGCGGCGGGCATCTTGCGGCAGGCGTCAATGGGAGGCCGCTTCAGGTCGCTCCTCCTGCAACGAAGAAGGGAACAGCGGCAACGATCTCCGCGTCACCGCTGCGAGCTTAGCTCAGAGAGAGGAGGAAGGGAATGAGCTCCTTCCAAGGAGATGACGAGGTCGTCCTTCCTCCATTTGGTGTCCTTTGATTGTGGCACTCGACGTTTGTCATTATGTCAGCCTGGGGCTGCCTTGCTGCACTCACTCAAGACGCCCAAAGTCAGCGTCGTGTGCATCGTGGCCTTCGGAGCTTCATCCCCGCTTCAAGATCTTATCGCCGGCCCAGCACTCAGCCATGACGATGCTTGTCCGCCGAGCGGGATACTCATCCATCCGCAGCCACGGGAGATCAGTGCAGAGCACTTGGTGGTGGTCCTCATCTGCAGTCTGCCGGGCAGCTGCCCTGATCACAAGGCAAGAATCCAGCTGGTTTCCCTGGCCCTTCTGATAAGCTCGGTGGTGCTGATCGATTCATCGGCCGCGGTGGAGCTGCTCACATCCACGGCCCTGCAGCTTACCCTGCGCCCGCCACAGGCAGATGGTGCCGCCAGGTCACCGAGACTCTGCCGTGACGAGATGCCGTGCATCGTGTGGGCCAAGGAGAGGACAGGCGAAGGAGAGGAGTCTGGCCTCGAGGGACGCTTCGCACCCCTGAGTTTTGCCCCGCTCCCTTCCAGCACCGGCAGCACCAACACGACCAGCCGTGACGAGCAGGACGAGCCCGTGGTGCGGGCCTTTCCCCACAGACGAATCGTCGTCCTCCCTGGCGGCGAGACGACCCTCACTGACGCACTCTTTTCTGCCACCTGCCCGCCAAAACGGTTCTGGTGCGGCCGCCTCATGCCGCCCTCCCTCCTCTGTGCCTTTACGGAAGCCATCGTCAAGGCGCTAAACGGGTGGTCGGCGACGCAGCCCCCAGCGGACACTTCGCACTCGGCGCCACTGATGGCTGTGTCGGAGCCATACCAGGAGGCGTTGCTCGTGGAGCTCCAGCAGTACTCTCGGCAGGCATGCGCTTTGTTCGAAGGCGTCCTCGATGACGTCCTGCCGGCGAAGGCCACCGGGGTGCCGCTTGAGTCGAGCGAGCTGTACGTGCTGCACGAGAAGGCCCGCGACGCTGCACTCGATGGGTTTCGACAGAGGAGTGGCCTGGTTCTACCCAGCTACATGGTCAGCCAGCAAGACACACACGGACGGACGGAGGGAGGGCGGATGTCGACGGACGGCTGTGCGTATGCATACGTGTGTCATTCCATTTGTGCAGGTCAGCCCGTCATGGAACTTCATCCATCAGAGTCTCCTCTCGACTATCCACGAGAAGCTGTTGAGGCGGCAGGCAGACAACCACACTCGCTCGGCAGCGTTATGTCAGAGGGCTCTCGAGGAAGAGCTATCCACTCATGGCGAGGGCAAGGCGTCATCCTTCCACTCCCTGCGGAGCGCCTTTGTGACCCACGCGTCGGATGCCGCACACGCACCTCTGCCAACAGCTGACGGCGGAGATGTTGCTTCTGCGTCGGCGGCCGCACTGCCGGCCCCTGTGTCGCTGGTCGATGTCCGCGGGGCCTGGCAGCAGGGGGTCGAGTCATATCTTCAACGCGCCAAGGGGCCACTCAAACATGAGATGCTGGCCAGTTTCGGTGGCCCAGTGCTGTGGGAACTGCTGCTTGAGCTCGAGGAGGTCAGGGGCACCCTGTTTGACCACTTGAGAACCACACAAGCGTCCCTGATCGGTCTCAAAGCCTCCCGGTCCGAGACCAGAGAGGAGGGAAAGGAGAGCCCGTCCTTCCGCACCCCCTCTGGTCGCATCACTCGACGAGATGACAGCAGAGACGACGAAGTGGCCAACCTGAAGGCAATGATTGAGGACAAGAGCAGGCAGCTGGAGCGTGTCAAAAGCCAGCTCGACGACCTGCGTCGCGAGCGAGAGGAGGATAGGGCGCGGCACCAGGAGGCCTTGAGGAATGTGCAGGGCCATGCCGACGCTCAGCGGGAGAAGGCTCAGCAGCGTGTGAGGGCACTCGAGGGCGAGCTGGAGGAGCTCTGGAGGGCACGCGACCAAGAGGTGGGCACACAGAGGGACGGGGGGATGGTGGGAGGATGGATGAATCATCGGTGTGTGTGGGTGTCAGCGTCACCAACTCACAAGTGAGGTCGGAGAGCTTCGGAAGAACATCGCACTCAAGGTGCGATACCAGTCAACACAAACACGCATACACCACACCTACCCTTCGATGAGCTCTCTTCTTTGATCGATCAGGAGGCGCTACTATCACGGGCCACGGGAGGATCCCATCGTCTTGACGAGGCCCTGCGCCAGCTCGCCACCCTAACGCGGCGGATAGAGGAATGCCAGCAGAGCGACACCGCCACCACCGCGTCCATGGACTGCCAGAACGCTCAGCTGCGGAAAGACAAGCTGGACCTCGAGATGCGACTCGCCGACGAGACGGCCAGGCACACCATGGCCATGGAGGCAGCCCAGCGCGATCACTCTGCGGCGATGGAAGCCCTCCGTCAGCAGATGGACGACGAGAAGAGCGTTCTGCAGACGGAGGAGGCTCAGCGCCGATCAACAGTTTCGGCGTCGCTTGTAGAGGCGCAGGCGCAGATTACAGTGGTGCAGCAGCAGCTGGACGCCATGCAGAGGGAGAAGGAGAAGGCCGAGGCGAGGCTAGCGGCCGAGGAAAACCAGAGGGGCCAGCAGTTTCTGTTGCAGCGTGACCAGGAGCAGCATGTGCGTGTGGTCGAGTCGCAGAAGAAGGAGCTACAGGAGAGGTACCAGGACCTCGAGCAGCAGCTGGCAGAGTGCAAGAGCAAGCTCTACCTCTACGTCGATGATCTCGAGACCTATCGCGACGGCGCTGGGGCGCTCAATCGAGGCCTTGGTGAGAGCAGCAAGGTGCAGCATTATCTGGACAAGCTGCTGAGGGGCCTGGGGGACGAGAACCGGCGTAGGTTCGCGGCGATTTTGGATCATGTGCCGCAGATAGACATGGAGTCAGAGGAGGGGGAAGAGTGTGCATGATAGAATGACCCTGTCTTTGACAAGCTGACGTGGCAGCAGGAGGCGGTTGCCGTAGGCCGGGCGGATGACGGAGTAGACGCTGCATTGCGAGCAGGTGCGGTTGCGCTGCGGCATGCACTTGGACCACCAGCTGAAGGCGCCGTAGCAGTTCTTTCACTGTGAGAGAGACAGAGAGTCATTTCCATGAATACATGCAAGTGACAGCCTCGGTTTATGACGACACATTATCAGTCGAAGCCTACTGTCAGATCACACACTCACAATACGCGAGTAACCGACAGACTCTGACTCACATAATCATGCAGCGAGACCGACACATAGGCTTGTACTTCTTCATGATCTCTCTGATCTCCGGCTGGTTTTTCGCCTTGTCCCACGGCGTGTCCCCCTGTCGTCATGAGATACGATGAGCAGATCACTCAACCATCGATGGTGGTGTGAACCACATCTGTGTGCACTCACGTCATTGTCCTTGATGTTCAGCAGAGCACCGCCGCCCCACTCGAGCCTGTCCAGCCAGCAACGCAGAAGAATGTGTGTGGATGAGATGTTCGCGTCAGTCATTCATCAGTGTCGCTCACAGCTGAGACACCGCTGCAGAGCAGCCCCCAGATGCAGCATAATGGAGTGCCGTCCAGCCGTCCTGGCGTGTGTGGCATCCACACAGGGAAAGGCATTCAAACAGATCAGAGACACTTTGTCTTCCTGCGTCTCTCACTTTGTCCTTCTGTGTGAGTAGGTCCTGCTTGTGCCCTCCTTTGTCAATCATGGCAGTCATCACATCCACATGCCCTTTCTCGGCAGCCCCGACGAATGGCGTCTTGCCGGACTGTAAAATCAACACACACCCCCATGCAGTCCTCATAAAAGAGGCGCCAGAGACATGTGTGTGCTCCCTTACATTGCTGCGTGCATCGATCAGTTTGGGATCCCACTCCAGCAGCTGATTGACAGCCGCAAGATGGCCCTTCTCGGCAGCCGCATGCATGGCAGTCTCACCAAGGACCTGCATTTCAATCAAAGCAAATGCATCTCATCACGAGCAGGACACAAGATGGTTTAGCTGTGTCGGTACCCCGTCTGTTTGCTGCAGTACGTCGGGTTTGCTCTTATACATGACAGACATGATGCCCACGTGACCATAGAATGCAGCCCAAAGGAAGGGTGTCCGCTGCGCAAAACACACAGACCACTGAAGTGCATTTCTGTCGTCCTCACGATTGCATACCCCGAAGACGTTTTTTTTGCATTTCCCCGAATAATTGAGGATCTCATTTCCTCTTTTGTTGATGAACATACAAACGGCTTCCTCATCGCCGGCTTCACGGCGTCGAAGATGTCATCGGCCTGACATTGGTCAAGGATGCCCACACACATCCGATGGCCCCTCATTGCGTGTGTTGCTCCGTGTGTCTGGGCGTGTAAGTCACTCCCTTACAGGCTGCTTGTACTTCTTCATGGTCTCTCTGATCTCCGGCTTGTCCTCCGCATAGTCCCACGGCGTGTCCCCCTGTCGTCATGAGATACGATGAGCACACCACTCGACCATCGATGATGGTGTGAACCACATCTGTGTGCACTCACGTCATTGTCCTTGATGTCCAGCAGAGCACCGCCGCCCCACTCGAGCCTGTCCAGCCAGCGACGCAGAGAGAATGTGTGTGGATGAGATGTTCGCGTCAGTCATTCATCAGTGTCGCTCACATCTGAGACACCGCTGCAGATTTGCCCCAGTTTACAGCCTTATGGAGTGCCGTGGTTCCGGGCTGTGTGTGTGTCATCCACAGAGGGAAAGGCAATCAATCAGATGAGAGACACATTGTCCGCTCGACTGTGTCTCACATTAGCCTGTTGCGTCAGAACAGAGACCCCTCCTTTGGCATACAAAAACTCCATCACATCCACATGACCTTCCTCGGCAGCCCTCATGAACGGCGTCCAGCCATCCTGCAATCACACCATCGACACGCTCAGGCGTCAGACGGGGGAAAATGCGTTGACACATAGCACAACAGCGGCGGTCGCTCATCATGCGTCAATGGACCATCTCAATCATGCGACAAGCACATACCAGTACCATCCTCGTCGCTCAGACACATGTGTGTGCTTTGTTACCGCGCCGCGTGCATCGATCAGTTTGGGATCCCACTCCAGCAGCTGATCGACCGCCGCAAGATGGCCATGGTAGGCAGCCAAGTGCATGGCAGTCTCACCAGTCTGCATTCCATCAAGCCAACACATCTTCTCATCAGCAGCAGTCGCAGCACACAAGATGGTTTGTCTTTGTTGGTACCTTGTTTGTTTGCAGCAGTACGTCAGGTTTGCTCTTATACATGACAGACATGATGCCCACGTGGCCCTGAAGTGCAGCTTCAAGGAAGAGTTCCCGCTGCAGAAATGAGAACGCACAAACATTCACTGAGTTCATTTGCTGTCTTCTTCACGCTCCAATGGACCTCCACGAAGTCCACGCCGTGAGTGTTCATCAACTGAGTGACAGCCTCCTCGTCGCCCCTTCTTGCGGCATCCTTGAACGTCTCGTTAGCCTCACTTATTGCGTCGTATTTGGCGCAAAAATCCTCATATTCCTTACCCTCGCACAATGCCTCATCAGATCGGCACAGGCTGTTCCCCCGTTTCTGATCGGGGTACACGGACACATGACATCCGCAACTAACCTGAACGGCCAATGTCATATCTCACCATCGTTGCTGGCGATGCCATGTGTGAGGACAACCGAAGTTGAATTCGCGTCGAGCCCCCACCGTTGCGAGCTTCAAGCTGGCCGTTGATTACACGGTCGGAGGCATGCAGAAAGTGTCGAGACACGCAAGCAGGGAGACGTCTGTCAGCAACGCACAACGCATTCCGATTCACTCATTCATCCACGCATCGATATCGAGCAATGGGAGAAAAATACACACGCAGCTATAAGCACGAACAGACGGACGGACACGCAGCCATGGTGTATGGTATGTCATCAACTCACTCACTCACGTGCACACGCGATGATGGACACAAGATGAAAAGATAGATACCCCGATCAGCAAAGCCGCATGCGGCGACTCACACCCCTCCCCACTCTCACCCTCGTCCATGTGTTGTGCCGTACACAGCTAGAGGCAAAAATCGTCATCTCTCTGGCTGGCTGGGCGCCAATGAGTGAATGTGTAGTCGCCACCAAGGGAGGCAACACTAGAGATCCATCCATGTACGCAGTCAGTCGTGGGGGCAGCCAGATCCATCCATCCATCCATCGTCCGTCCGTTAGTCCATCCAATCATGCCTGCCCTGTGTGTGTGCCGCCGTCTCACGTGTCACGCAGACACTTCCCTCAGCAGCAGACACGCAGCGCCGCTCATGACTATGTGTGTTCGCTGCTGCGGGAGATGAACGAGGCCCGAAGGACGACCGCAACACCACCGGGCTTCGCGACAGATCGACATCAACAAACAAACCGCACCTCTGTCTTGTCACTGTCCCTTCCTGATGCCAGTCAGCCAGCCACACGCAGCCACACTACAAAAGAAACCGGGGGTCGAGTAAAGCTTTCCCGCAGAGGAGAAAAATACACAGCACACACTGCACTGGATTACACACCACACACCGGTTGGACGCACACACACACACACACACCCCCATTGCCCGTCGATCACCGCCCATTCATTCGTCGATTGATCGGCCGATAGATAGATAAACCCCAGCTGTGCTGTGCGCCACCAGTCCGTCCATTCGGAGCGACATGACATGACACACCACACCACATACACGATACGCACACACCACACACGCGTTCGCTGTCTGGGGCGCCGTCACGACCCCATCCCGTAGAAAGCACCGCACGCATCGTATCGCCCTCGACCGACGAAAAACATGGCAAGTAGCTAGGCAAAAAGCATTACCGCTCACCCAGCCCCCCGAAAGATGCATTGCATTCACGTCTTGTCATGTTACAAAAGTCGCCTCTCTCTCTCTCTCTCTCTGTGTCACCGAATGCAGATTCCATTCAATCAGTCGGCCACCCGCCCCTAAATTCAACACACAGCTATCTAGTTACACAACCAAACAACCATTTGCCCATCTCTCTCCGGAGACCACGAAAAAGATACCTCTCCATTCTTCCCCTCCTTCCCCTCCTTCCCCTCCTTCCCCTCCCCTCCCCTCACATGCCCTCTGTTGCTATGTGCTACACACGAGCTATGACGCGAAGATGCGCATGACGCTGAGCGACAGGTCCTCTGGGTTGTTCATCGGGACCGCCTTCTTGGTCAGCTTGCCCTCCACCGAGCTCACCGCCTGGCCGTACAGCTTGACCCTGCTGCTGCGGAGGTCCACACTGATGGCCACGATGCCCCCACGGTGCGACAGCTGGTAGGCGATGAGGTCGAAACGGTCCAGAGATGACGCCCAATAGGGACCCAGGCAGTTGTAGATGCCTATCCCACAAAACAAGAACGAAATGCCGACATGGCAAAGAGTGCGGACGGATGTGAGAGTGTCTGTCCGCATACCCGCCGTGACCGGGTCCTCCGGGATGCCGATTCTCGGGGCGAAGAACCTCGACAGAAAGTCGATCTGCGCACCGCACACACGAGGCGGGCGAGCATGACGTCCATGTGGTCGTGCTGCGTGTGTCGTCGCCCTCACCCGTGTGGAGAACCGCTTTTTGAGTTCGTTGACGATGGGGTCGTTGGGCGTGGCACGGCAGGTGATGATGACGCCCCGACGGCAACACGCAGCCACACGATGATACTCGGGACGCAATCTCTGCACAGCAACGACAGAAGCATTGATCGATCGGCACACGAGTCCTTGTCTACGTCTACGTGTCTGTCTTCTTGCACCCACACCACCCACTTACCTGCAGGACGGCAGGGTCGGTCACCTCGATGAGCATGTCGCTGTCGGTGCGGCCGATAAACACCACCTCGTCGGCATCCACACCCAACGCCTCTACCAACGACTGAACGAACAAAGAGAGAGAGAGAGAAGAGAAACACACACACTGTCAATCTGCCCATCTGCCTGTCGGTGTCTTGTCTCTCTCACCGGTGCCATGAGCAACTCCCTCCGATGCGACACGGCAGCACGCTCGTTGTGGTCGAGAACGTCGAGCGTGCTGTCCACCCGGGGCGTGCTGGGCCCGCCCGCCAGTGGAATCGGCAGCCTCGCGCCCGGCGACCTTCCCAGCATTGAGAAGGATCTGCTAGGCAGACGTGGCGGTGGCGTGCCCGAGATGCCGTTGAGGCCCTCACCGCTGGTGCTCTTGACACTCGTCGTCGCCTGCCGCCACATGCCGAGGTCGCCCGTCTCGTCGCTGTCCTGCCCCTCGTCATCGTCGCCTCCTGCCGGCTTGGTCCGCTTCATGTTGGCCACCGAAGATGGGATGTCGGCCCCATGGATGTCCACGGGGACTGCTTGGATCAGCGGGAAGTCCAACTCGATCCACTCTGCGCGGTCACGGACCGTCGCGTGCACGCCGCCCATGTAAGCCGATCCCGGTGAGCTCGAGGAACGGTCGGACCGCTCGTCCCACGTCTGTGAGAGGGGCAGTCCCGGGGAGATGGGCGTGGAGGGCTCGGATGCCTCGCTCATGGCGCCGTCCATGGATGACGCAACGGGGAGGCCGATCTGGCCGAGCTCGCTGGAGTGGTTGGCAATGATGGGCAGGCGGGCCTTGCGGAACACGGCCGGCTGCGACCCACACACGCGGGCACTCAGCTCGCCCGAACGGGTGTGGAAAACTATCACGCAGTCGTCCTGAGCTCAGATGCAAGGGAGGGAGGAAGAGCAGGGGCGTATGGATGGCCCATGATGGGATGGGTGAGTCAGTCAGACGTTGTTTGTGTATCTCCCTCCCTACCTACCGGTGCTCTCTGTGAGATCCAGAGTGCCTTGGCGGCGCCCAGCAACGCGTGGCCACAGTCGACCTCACAGTGCGGGGTAAACGACCTGCACCGACGCAATGGACACGCAGATGCAGGCGTGTGCAAACTGACGGTTTGTCGTGGCTGATATCCTCCCTCATTATGTACCTGAGGTCATAGTGGCACTGTCCGGTGCCCGCCAGTTCCTGCGAGGTGATGCGGGGGTCCCTCGACGGTTGGATAAAACACGTCTCGTTGCAACCCAACTCATTCGCTGCTCCCTGAAAACGAAAGAACACAACACACAACACGTGCAGTGCACAGATCCGTGTGACTCGATCGACCATCCCTCCCTGTGTGTGTGTGTGTGTGTGTCTGAGGGCACCTACCTGCATCCAGTTGGCATCTCCCCCCTGCTGCGTGAAGATGCAGCAGATGGGGTTGCCCGTGAAGGGTTTGGCCTGGGGAGGGAAGCAGTCCACTATCACAAACGGCTGCGTCCGCAACTCGTCCAGGCACATGGACAACTCGAGCCACGGACCTAACACACCACACAAAGCAAATGACGTACGTGACGTACTCACAAAGACGGAGTCCATCTCAGTTTGTGTGGCTGTCTGTGGCATACGACCATACATACCGTCTGGCAGATGGTCCAATTCGTTGCAGTGTCTTGTGACGGCCATGCCGCACTCGAGGAAGCTGCCGAGCTGGGAGGCCTTGCAGCACACCGACACACGGCTGATGGTGCTCGAGGCGGCTATCACCTCCAGGTAGCACTTGACCAAACACGCGATGCCCATGCTCGCCTTGCAACGGGACAGACGAACACAATACAGCTGCAACGTCCCTGAACCAACCACACCACACCACACCACACACGAGAACCATCAATGTGTTTTGACGTGTGGCGTGGTTGGTGGTGCTGCAGCACCTCCGTCAAGCTCGTGAGAGGGCATGTGGTCCCACACGAGCGGCTCACACGCCGTCCGCAGCCCCATGACCACCCCCTGCAGCACCTCCTCATTTGGGAACTGCGAGAACAGGCCGAAGAGCAGGTCAGCCGACTCGCTCCTCGCACGCTGCAGCGTCTGCACCAGCCGGTCAGGGGCGTCGCTGGCCGGTTCGTGGCAGAAGGCCTCGCCGTCCATCTGTGCGCACGCCTCCTCATCGCCCTCTTCAAGCCTTCGGACGATCATGCCCTTGCGCCGCAGGAACTCACCCGAGTGGGTCCTGAACTGTGGTGCTTGCTGCGGGCCCTTGACGAAGGGCTGGAGGTACAGGTTGCCCTTGCAAGATCCGAACTCGGAGTGGCGGCTCCGGAGCAGGCTGCTCATGGTTTGAATGAGGGCTGCAGATCACATGGGCGTTCCAGCTCGGATGGTTTGTCTTCTTCCTTTGACGCGTCTTGAGGCGAGCTCGAACACCACGATTGCGAGCTTGGCAAAAATCCTTTCTCCGGTTTTGGTGTGGTGTGCGGCTGCTGAGAGTGCCGCCGGCAATGGCTGCCTTCATCTGTCGCCGCATCTGAAGAAATTGGAGCTGTGATTGAGTTGCTGGCCGTCTGCTCATCTGTGAGCCTGGTGAGAGGAGGGCAGGGCTGCAGGATAGGCAGGCCAGACAGAGAGGCTCTGAAGAAGCGAGACGGCTGACAAAGATCAGGCCACGCCAATCAACGATATGCGCAGTCAGTCAGCTGAGCGAAAGGTGTATGGTAGGAGCCGAGCGTGGCCAGGCCAGCTTAAGAGAGAAGCCGTGATCGATTTGATAGATATATGCGATGCAGTCACACATCACTCACGGCAGGCACCTTACCTTGCCCTCACCTGCCGGCCTCTCACTTATGGATGGCCATGTGTTGGTTGGCCTATGTGCGTGTGTGTGCTGTCGAATCAGGTTGGTTGCGGGCTCTCCCCAGTGTTTTAAGCGAGTGATCCCGTCCCCTGTGCCCAAGCGATGGAGCATAACAGTCACGACTACAGCAGTCCCGACATGATGCACTTCAGCGACCCGAGTGGCGAGCCGTCTTCGCCGCCCGTCGCCAATCGCCACCGACCCCCCTCTTCTCACAACGAGGTGCCGTACGGCCATGGCGACGATGCCGTGGGGCGGCAAGAGGGCGTGGAGCGGCAGAGGAGCGGCAGGCAGGCACGGCTCTACAACCAGGGCATACAGGTGCACTAATGGGTGGGGGGAGGGAGGGTGCGGTGCAGGGACAGACAACCAACGGGATGGGATGGCTGGTGTGTCGTGTGCGGTGTGTGTCGTGTCAGCCTGGTGTGTATGGGCGGCCGACGGGTCAGATGATACAGCGGAGGAGAGACCGCGGTAAGTAGCAAGTGGACCACACGGACAGCACTGGTGGAAACCCAATGAGTACATCTATCTATCTATCTATCTGTCCTGTACGTGTGTGGTTGCCCCCAGTTGGTCTGTTGGGTTTGTCGAATCTCGGCAACACGTGCTACATGAACGCCGCGCTCCAGTGCCTGGTGAGTGAGTGACTCAGTCAGAGAGTGAATAAAATGCTGACAGACAGACACCAACACTCATTCATTGGGTATCTCTGTGATTGTGTTTTGTGTTGTGTTGTGTTGTTTTGTGTTGTGTCCTCACAGATCCACACGCGGCCTCTCCAGAAGGCGCTGCGCAAGTCGTGCCCCGCCGAGCTCTACCCCAGAGGCGAAAGCGACAAGCCCTCACAGCTGTACGCCTTGAACAAACACCAAGCACGTCACTTCACGTGACGCCACACAGACAAACAGACAGACAGACCGGCTGGCTGCTGGGTGTGACGTTACGTTGACTGCAGTCTGGTTCGCGAGCTGATCCGGCTGTTTCAGCACGCGTGGGAGACCAACGTCTCCGTCGAGGCACCGGGGGTACACAACACAACACAATCGACCACACAGTACCCAATGGTTTTGTTGGTTGTGTTGTGTGCTGTGTTGGTGTCTGTCTTGTGTGTGGTGCACCCACTGCAGGACATTCTGAAGGTTGCGTCGACTTTGAATCCGATGTTCCAGGGGTACGCGCAGCACGACACTCAGGAGTTCCTCAACTTCGTCCTCGACATCATGCACGAAGAGCTGCACGGCCAGGTACCACCCTACGCTTGCCACTGACACAGACAGACAGACAGACAGGCAGACTGCCGATGGATGGATGGCTGCTGAGTGACGTGAGTGACCCATATATGTGTGACTTTCTCGTTTCTCGCTCAGCATCCAAATGTGCGTGAGACCGACCCCTCCGTGCTCTTCCCACGACCCATCGAGGCCGCCCCATCCACTGCGTCCACTTCGTCGAGGGCTCTTGTGGCCAGCGATGGTCTCAATGAGCACCCCGCCCCCGCCCCCGCCCCCGCCCCCGCCCCGCCCCCCCCACCACAGCCCAACGGTCCGACCGAGACCGACCCGGCAGAACGAAAGAAGAAGAGGTCAGCCAGTCAGTCCGACACACAGACAGCCGACACTTCACGCGTGGCGTTGGTTCTCCCATTTCTGTCATCAGCTCCTCGTCTGCAGTGGAGATGAACGGCCCCAGGCCGATGACTCTCGACGGCGGCCCGCCACACAACGGCGTCCTGCCATCCGACGCGCGAGCGGTACCCCGCCCGGCCAACCGCAGGGAGAGGGAGCAGCAGGATGGCGGTGGCGAGATGACCACGGCCCGGTCGCACTACACCAGCGAGGAGGGGGAGGGGAGGGCCGATGGTGACGGCGACGGCGATGGCGATGGCGGGGCCGGGGGCGACGAGTCGCCCGGTGGTCAGTCGGCGCAGTTTTATGACTGTGAGGAGGAGAAGAGGAAGGAGCCTGACAACAAACAGCCACAGGTGAGTGGATCCCTCCCAACACAGGGAGGGAGGAGAGGCAGGGAGGGAATCGTGGGTGGGTGCATAGTGTGGCGTGCGTGGCTTGTTGCAGGAGTTCCGGCCGACATCTATCGTTGCCGCGGTGTTCGCGGGTCGCGTGTCGAGCAGCATCCAGTGCTGCAAATGCCAAACGGTAGCCGTACACATCACATGCATGCCACTGACCGACTGACACATTGAGGCGACTGACACATTGAGGTGTCTGTCTGTCTGTCTGTCTGCTGTGGCGTACATGCCATGCACTGCCATGCAGGTGTCGCGTACTTATGACGTGGTGTATGAGATCAACCTGCCCATCCCCAACAAACGCGACGAGGGCGGAGGGGCCGTCGCTGGCGCACTCTGCAGGTTCGTAGAGCCATCAACCAACAAAGGGGCAGGCCCACAGACCAGCCCAGCTCGTGTCATGCCTTTCTTTGTTTCCTGCCCATCAAGCAGAGTGCCCCGTGCTGACGATTCCCCCGACGCCCAGCCGTCCACGATGATCGGCGCACTCACATCCCCTCTCAAGCTCATGGCCAGCAGCGTCAAGGGGTCAGGGAGCGAGCGATCTACCTGAAGCGAGACAGCAGGGACAGACGGCACAGCCATTGTCCATTTGTGTGTGTGTGTGTTGATTCCATCCATCAGGCTGATCTTCACGCCGCCCATCATGCTGACCGATTGTCTGCGCAAGTTCTGCACAGCCGAGTACATGAGGGGGTCGGAGCAGTACGAGTGCGACAAGTGCAAGGTGCGGTCAGCTGGCTGGCTGACCTGACTGACCCACACACTCCATTACACTATACTACACTCCACGCACACGTATTTCCGTTGTTCCTCCAACCTTGGTCGGTCAGAGCAAGCAGGACGGCGAGAAGCGTCTGCAGCTGTACGACCTGCCCGAGGTGCTCTGCCTACACCTCAAGAGGTTCAAGTACGAGGCAGGATGGCTCGCCAGCAAGAACAGGTCCGTGGCTGCGGTGCGGGAAGGGAACAGAACGGGTGGATGCATTCCAATGAATTGAGACACACACACGTGTGTGTGTGTGTGTGCAGTCGTTCGGTGCAGTTCCCCGTGGATGAGGAGTTGGATGTGGAGCCCTTTGTCGACGAGGAGGCCATCGCACGGAACCGACAGAAGCACCCCCCCAACCCCAAGCCATACAAGTACAGGTAGGTAGGTCTGTCTTTCACACCCAGTGTGTGGTGTATCGTTCATCGGCTCATCCATCCATCCATCCGTCCATCCATCAGGTTGACAGGTATCATCGAGCATATCGGTTCGTATGGCGGCGGGCACTACACGGCCTACGTCTACCACAAGAAGCGCGACCAGTGGGTGCACTTCGACGACGGCCTCGTGTCCAGATCCGACTCGACGCAGGTCGCCAGGTCAGAGCCCTACTACCTCTTCTACGAGAAGGTCACACCACAGTCGGTACGCAGGGCAGTCAACACACAACCACAACCACACACACACACATACACACAGGGAGAGAGAGAGAGAAAACACCGCACATGGATCGCTCATTGGTTCGGTTCAGCGCGTCAAGGATCGTCGTACGGTCAAGGAGCACTGCAAGAGTGTGCTGGAGCACCTGAGGCAGCGCGCCCTCCCACAGCCACGCGCCGAGGCACCCATGACGCGCGCACGGAAGAAGAAGCAGGACGAACTGTCAGACAGCGCCGTCGGCAGCATCGTATACGTTCCCCAGAGATGGTAAGTCACCCAGCCTGTCAGCCTGTCTGTCTGTCTGTCTATCTGTCGGACACACGCGCTTCTTTGGAAACTGGGAGATGAAATGGATGCATTGAATGCATTGTGTGTGGGTTTAGGTATCAGCGGCTGATGACGATGAGCAACCCAGGGCCGATCGAGATGAACGGCCTCCTCTGCCCACACGGCCGGGTCGCCACTGTCAGACCGGCACACGCACAGGTCAGAGGCGAGTGGCACTGACAGAAGACAGCCGGGGAGGGCGACGTGTGGACATCTTTTGTCATTCATTCATGTGTGTCCGTGTTGGGTGGTGTGTGTGTGTGTGTAGATGATGTGGCGGCCGATGGGTCACCAGCTGTACCACCGGCTGGTCACCATGTACGGCGGGCCGGCCACTGAGATCAACGACCTCTCGCCATGCGACACGTGCATCCAATTTGTGGTCAGCACACCACACCACACCACACCAAACCACACCACAGCCGCCGTGCGCGTGTGGATGCTCCCTCGCTCCCTCCTCCCTGTCTGTCTGTCTGTCTGACAGGACCTGTTGCTGGATCGCCGTCAGCAGGAGTATCAGCTCATCTGCGAGCATGACTCCAGGGACACTGGACAGGGCAACTACTGGTCGGTTCAATGAAGGGCAGGCAGGCAGGCATCGTGTCGTGCGTGTATGACGGACGGATGCATCGATGGGTCTGTCTCCCCCCACCGCCTAGGTATTTGGTTGAGAACAAGTGGGTGGACCGTTGGAAGGCCTACATCAGGGGCGAGCAGCAGCGCACCCGCGGCTTCGACTCGGTCGTCCAGGCCCTCAACACGCTGCCGGGAGCCGTCGACAACACCGATCTGCTCGAATGCAGTAAGTACAGTCACGTCACGCACAGCACAGAGAGGCGACAGACAGACAGACACAAATCAATGGATGATGAGGTTTCTGTGTGCGTGTGTGGGTGTGTGGGTGTGTGTCATGGATCAGAGGATGGCGTATGGCAGCCCAAGAAGAACCTGAAGGTGCGCATCCACTACATCGGCGTCAACGCCGCCGTCTGGGGGCTCTTCACCTTCTTCCACGGTGGGGCGCTGCACACACACACACAGCCAGACATCCCACCAGTGCACTCTTTTGCGCTTCCTCCCACACACATATGTGGTGCTTTCTCTGTTGTGCGTGTGTGGTGTGTGGTGTGTCGTGTGTCAGGGGGCGGTCCCGTGTTGGTGCGGAAGGATCTCAACATCTATGAGGAGGAGGGAGAGTGGGAAAAGGACGTAAGCAAGCCGCCGACACGACGCGGCGCGAGGGACTATGTCTGTTGCTGCAATTGTTGCAGTTGACGCCTCCGGAGTGTTCCGAGGAGGAGTTCGCCCGCAAGTACCACTGGCAGGCCCTCAAGGAGATCCTCATACCCTCAGCAGCAAGCGACGACGAAACGCCTAACCTCGCCACAACCAGACACAGGTCAGCCAGTCAACACACACACACATACACACATACCTCCCCCCACAAGGACATCCATGTCTGTGTGTCAGGTCTGACGCTGCCGACGGTCACGTCGAGCCGTCAGGTGCCCCCACCGCGGCCTCGGCAGCCGCTGCCGACCACGACGATCGCATGGAGGTGGAGGAGGTGGACCAGACCACCAATGACAACAATGACCCATCGCACACGGACGGCTGCGGGCCGCAGCAACAACAGCAGCCGGATGGAGTGGGCGGGGCGGGGGATGGGGGAGGGGGAGGGGGTGGAACCAGCGAGAGGGCAGCACGGGCGGCGAGGCGGCGGGGAGAGGCTGGTGACGACCGGCAGGCGGCAGGTGGAGACGAGCGAGAGACCATCAATGGACGGTGAGGGATGCGCGCCCCTAGAACCTCGCTAGCTGTGCTCATTGTTTGCTCTGTGTGTTGTTGGTGTGTGGATCCATCCATCCATCCATCCATCTGTTTGTCAGTGTCGGTGTCAAGCCACCGCAGCCGGTGGTCTTCAAGCCAAAGCAGACCAATCGATGAGACCTGGCCTGGCCAGGTGACCTGCCTACCTGCATGGCTGGGCTGCCTCCATTTCTTTCTGGTCGGTCGTAAGGAAGCCTTTGGCTGGCGAGTCGTGGGGGGAGGGAGATGCGTGAGTGAGTGAGTGCAGACGTACGTACGTGCATTCGTGTGTGCAGTTTTGACGGCTGCCTCCCTCGCTGCTTGAGGCCGACGGACACTCACTCACTCAGTCACTCACTCACTCACTCAGCCCACATATATCTGTTTGCACTGCACGTGCAGACTATCTATGTGTGTACCATGGCATGGATGGGATGCATCCATCCCGTTGCCTCCTCCTCACCTCACGCTCATCGTCTCCCCTCCCCTCCCTTGTCTGTCTACCTGCCTGACTGACTGAACGATATCGGATGTCTGTCGATACCCTCCGACGACCTCTCGTGTGCTGTGCGCTCACTTGCCAAGTGCCTCCATGCCATCTGGTGGCGAGACAGCATTTTGGTGGCGAGACAGCATGTCTGACTTCTCCCCTACCCTCCCTGTGTCCTCTCCTCGTGTTCCAGGCTCCCTGGCTCGGCTGGTTGGGTATCTTTCTCTGTGTGTTTGTGTATGCTTTGACTCTACTAAGAGAATTGATCTTAGTGTACCTGTGTGAACATACGGCTACCTGCCTGCCTGGCTTGCTTCATATAAGCCCGTCAGCCAGCGGTGAGCCCCTGTCGTCCGTTTGTTGGTTTAGCCAGGGATGGCTTGACGGTCTGGGGCTGGTTCTCTCATCAGCCAGCGTCCATGCCGTCCAGGCAGCCACGGCAAGACACCAGCGAGCAGACGGGGCGGTGCCCCCGGAACGTTGTGTTGCAAAACATTGACCGCCAATCCATACATACACCATGATGTCTCTTGAATGAGTCTGTGTGGTGAGGTGCACTGCAATGGGGCGTCACTCACGCACTGAGCAGACAGACTGACTGGCATACAGCACGCACGAGATTGTGTCTTCATTGGTCGGCCTCTTCGCCCTCTTTTTCCGCAGCAGCGGCCGCCTCCTCCTCGGCCTTCTTCCTCTCCTAATCAATATCAGACACACACACACGCGTTCACAGACCATCGCATATATCGCATCACTTGCGGGATTGCAGGTACGTACGTACCTCTTCCTGTCTGATTCTGTCGGCCTCCAGGCCCTTGGCCTGCTGACGCTCCTCTGGCGTGACCTCCTGGCCGTTGATCTCGGTCAGACGGGTCAGCACTATCAACAACTGCACATACATACAGAGATGGAAGGACAGAGAAAGACAGAGACACAGGGTGGATGAGATGGGGAGAGGGGCCGAGAGACCTCGATTCTGAAGGCTTCGTCGCCCAGCTCCCCGACAATGGGGTTGCCTGATGGGATGTGCACACGAAGGCATACAAGAACGAGAGAGAGACCAACCAACGACATGAGCACTCACTCACCAGTGGCGTCAAATTTCCTCAGCTTGGGGAGCACGCGGAGCTTCTCGAACTCCTTCACAGTGGACACCTGATTCTCCCTGCAGACACACATGCACACATCCAGCGCAACGGCATTCTCTGCGAGTTGACTGCCGCACACACAGGCGTCTCGTCTCAAGTACTTGAGTAGGAGTGTGGTGATACTGGCGGCGCCCCCGAAGCCGTCCAGTGTATCCAGCTGAAATACAGAGACGAAACCGTCTTGTCCCGCCCCATGCCGTTCGTTGGACAATTGTCACCTTGTTGCCGCTGAGGTCCCACAGGTCGAGACTCGGCAGCTCCTGCAGGCCTTCGAGCGACTTGATCTCGTTCTCACTCTGCGAAAGAAAGAGACACACACCGCCAATGTGCAAGGTATCAGGTATGCTGTGTGCGGTACCATAAACAGCTCTTTCAGCGCGGGCAGGTTGCCGATGCCCTGGCAATTGATAAGCTTGTTCTTGGACAAATTGAGAACCTATCGACACGTACATACAAATGAGCAAGGGAGGAGGGTTCCTGGAATGTGTGGTCACCTCGATTGCCTCGTGGCCTTCAAAGCCCTCCAAAGAAGCTATCTGGTTGCCTGACAGCATGGACAAAACACCACGAGACACGCTACCGTGGCCGCGACAGTCGCCCAGGGAGCCTTTATCTCTGACCTGAGACGTTTGCTCTCTTGAGCCTCTCCATCTTGAGGTTGCCGAGCTTCTCCATCGCGTTCGTCGACGCATCCAATGTCTCGTGAGGGTGTGCATGATGGCAGGTGCAGACAGACATACAGGGGAGGGAAAGGGATGGCCCGGCTCTCTTTCTCTTTGTCGATCGACATATATACTTGGCAGAAGGGGAGACATCCTTCTGGGTTTGCGAGGCACTCGAGCTGTGTAATGCCATTCTGGGAACAGTTCAAAGACAGCACATGCGGCAGCCGAGACACTGCAGACAAAGAGCAACGACCAACCAGCATCAATGCCAGCATCCCATCCCATGGAGCTGGCCACCTGGTGTGATGTCCTTGATCTGATTGTTGGACATTTGGACGAATCGAATGTGTGTGTAGTCACCCACTGCCTCGGCCAGAGAGGAAACCTCCTTGCCCGAGCAGTCGAGTCGCGCAAAAGCATAGCCGCTGCCATCTGCACACCAAGCCCATCAGAAATCTGTGTGTCCATTCATCTCTCTGGCCCCATCGCCTCACCTACTGTTTTCGATATCTGGGACAGTGAGGAGCGCAGCAAATCACCCTCGAGAACGGACCCTTCCTCCGCCATGATGTCTTCCGAGTCAGACTGCGAGCTCGCCCCCTGAAAGCCCCCAGTCTTTTGGAGCTGGAGCTGAGAAGATCTATTTCTCGAAGATCTGGGTTGCATTCACGTGCGTCGATTCTTCCCTCGTCCATATCATATCATTCATCTTTCTGCTGCTCCACGGACAAATCATATCATGGCCTCATCCTTCCCTCAGATGCCGACAGACCAAGAGCTATCTTCGTTCGTCGGCCTCATCATGTCGTGGGTGCAATATCCGACTGAGGCTGATGACGGGAAGCGCGTCCGGGAGGCGAGGGACGAGCTGCAGCGTCTTCAACACACCGCTCCCGAGGCCACCTGCCGGATGTATGTTCAGGTCATCGCGACGATGCGCGGAGATCCCATCCTCACCAAGACGGCCGCCGCGCTATGTGACACTGTGCTGAAGCGGGCGGAGGGAGAGGATGACAACGAGGCGGCAGCGGCTTTCGTGCTCACGGCCACGCAGCCAGACGCTCGTCGCGCTCTTCTCCAAGCCTTCATGGACGAAACCGACAGCAGCGCTCGACGCGCCATCGGCCACCTGCTTACAAGGGTGCGAGAGCTGACTTCAGACGAGTGGCCGGAGCTTCTGATGGCTATGTTTCAGCTGATGCGATCTGACAACGAGCAGAGGGCCATCGCTGCTATCCGGGTGCTGTCTGCTGTGGCCGACACTGTGAATGAGGAGATTGAGAGGCGCGGTGAGGCGGCGGCGTTTGTGGCTCAGCTGCGGGGGCTGCTGGAGAGCCCCAGCATGGCCATCAAGGCTGATGCTGTAAGGCTGGTCAAGGAGGTGTATGAGGCGGCTCTGCTGGACCGCGACGGGCAGCGGGTGCAGATGAGTGAGTACTGCGCTGGCCTGCAGTCGCTGACGCCCACCATGCAAGCAGCTGTGGGGGCGGCCATGCAGAGCCTCAAGACACACGGGAAACAAGCGAGGTGAGCAGGAATTCTTTGTGTCGGCGCGGCAACCAGGTATCGATTCTTTCATGTGTGGCGGTTGTTTGTGTGTGTGCAGGTCTATGTTGGAGACGTTTGTGCAGCTGACGGAGGCAAATCGCTTCTTCGAGCAGCACCTGCTCGCGGTGGCGGCGCAGTTCCTCTCCATCGCTCAGTCGCCGCCTTCGTTCTTCAACCTGCCCAAAGCCAGCAGCATTTTGCACGTGGGAAGAATAGGACACACCCACACCGACACTCACATGGCACGAGCGCACGGACGGCCGCTGGGCGTGTGTGCCTGCATATGTCAGGATGAGGATGAAGACGATGAAGATGGGGAGGAGTGGGCAGAGCACGACCACCGATACCTCACCTACGAGTTCCTCATCTCCCTTTGTGAAGCATATCCATCAAAGTAAACAAACAAGAACACGGCGCGGAGGACCACCATCGGGTCTCCCATGCCAACCAACCTGCATGCCATGCAGGTGCAGAAGGATCCCCCAGTTCATCTCTCAGCTGTGCAGCCTCTTTGTGGACCTCGTCACGCCCCCCGCGTCTGCCTTTGAGGAGGACGGGGAGCCCGAGCCGCCGCCAGTGGGGTCGCTGAGTGACGAGGAAGTGCACAGCGATGAAGTCGACAATGATGACCGCAACGACCTAAAGGTTGTCGCACTCGAGGGCATTGGCAGAGTCGCCATGGTGGGGGGGTGAAAAGGCGGGGAGTGACGGAGGGAGGGAGGGAGGGTGGCAGCCTCTGAGTGCGCATTGGTTTGTGTGTGTGTGTGTGTGTGTGTCAGGCTGTTGACCTGAAGTCGTTCCTGGCTGATGCGTGGCCCTTCTTTGAGCACAAGATGAAGATGAAGAAACTCAACCCACGGACCAAGGCCGCACTCGCCGAGATCGTCGCAGTGGTAAGCTGACAACAACACGGCGGCAGGAACACAAATCGAGCTCCCATGATTGATCGATGTCTGTTCTGTCAGCTGTTTTCTATGGAGGACTTGTGTGGAGACGATGACTACCACACGGAGTACCATCTGGGTGTGTTCCGTTTCCTGCTCGACACCTGCCGCAACAGGTTCGTCAACCCCCCACCCACCGCACTGCGGCTGACGGGCCTCCGGGCACTCGAGACGCTGCTCGACACTCACGGCGCCAACCTGGACAACAACGACATCGACGAGCTCGACAAGGCGCTCATGCCGCTGCTGACTCATCCGAATGAGAACGTATGGCTGGAGTGACAGAGAGGGTGGCGCGGAAACTGAGTGACGAGTGTGTGTGTGTGTGTGTGCTGTGTTCACTCGTTCATTCACGCAGGTGGTCCGTCGTGCGCTGCGGTGTGTGGTTGTGCAGCTGGGTGAGTCTGAGAGTGAGGCGTATGAGGCAGTGCGCCCCATGACGGAGGAGACCGTCTTTCCTGAAGTCGCCAAGACACTCCTGCACATTGTCCAGACCGGCACAGGTATACACACCCTTCACACACAGGACATCCACCCACCCCACCGAGGCACGTTCCTGACTAATGTTGGCTGTTTTGCTTGATGCAGGCTGGTCGATCAAGCAGTACGCCACGAGAGCACTGCGTCAGCTGCTGCCCCTGTGGGCCGTGGATGCGTGTGACCCCCGTGAGCTGGTCGAGTCGATATACGCCAGCTGGATGCCGTTCCTGAAGCAGTTGCTGATGTCGCCCCTCTCACCCGAGGGGCAGAAGCTCAAAGCTGAGGTCATCGAAGCCATCGCACGGCTGGGCACCAAGGCAGGTTCGTGAACAAAGTGACGCGAGCCACAGTTCTTTGTGTGTGTATGGTTGTTCTATGGGCTGGCTGCTTGCAGGATTTGCTCGGTTCCACGCAGATGCGGTGTGTGTGCTGGACTACCTCACCAAGACAGACTTCCCCGCAGACAGCCCCGTCACCGACTCCATCGTTGTAAGGAGGAGGAAACGACTGCACATCCATTCATCCCATCGACATTTATGTGCTGTGCTGTGCTGCGCTGCGCTGCGCTGCGCTGTTGTCGTCTGGCTGCAGCCGATGTTGCGGGACATGGTTCCGGCGCTCGGCGATTCGCTGCTGCCGTATCTGAGTGCGTTCTGGCCTCGGGTGATGGCCCCGCTGGACACACGGCCGAAGCCTATCAAGAGCGACGACGTGGACAGTGAGGAAAAACAGCAGCAGCAGCGGCAGCAGACACAGGTAAGTCAGTCAGGTCCCTGGGGGGCGATGCCGTGGTAGGGGTGTCTGTCTGTCTGTCTGTCTGTCAGACGCGGTGCTGCAGTTCGAACGAGACGGGACAGATTGTGAGTTTGGGCGTGGACGAGATCGAAGAGATCTCCAGGTGCGGTGGGGGCGATTTGGGCGATCTCTGTGTGTGTGTATCTGAGTGTGTGTGTTCAGGAGTGCCGATCTGCTGGCCTTGGTGCTGAATCGGTTCGGTGACCGCATCCCACACCAAATGCTGACAGAGATCTTCCAGGTAGGTCGGCGCACAGGCAAGAAACAAAGAAAGATTCTTCTAAGCACTCAGACAGACAGACACGTACCATCCTCCTCCCTTCTCTCGGCAGCATTTGCGCAACGTCATGACCCTGCCCTTTGACGAGGTCATGGGGCAGGGTCAGCACGTCCTTCAAGCCTACCTCAAGACGCTGAGGCAAATGGCAGACCGTCGATCGCCTGCGGGGCAGCAGCAGCCTGCGCTGCTGCTGCAGGAAGTGGGGGCGTATCAGTGGCAGGCCATCCAGTGGATTCTCAACGACATCAAGAAACAGGTATGGGTGTACCTACGGAAGAATTGCCACACGGACACGGGACTGTTGCATATTGTGTGTGTGGCAGGGTGCGTCTGACAGGGATGAGTTTCTGATCAACCGTCAGGTGGCCGCCTTGACTGTGGCCCTCGAGGCGCCCGGCAAAGACACGCTCACACAGCAGCAGGTCAGCAAAACCCAGTGGCTGCACTGCATGTCTGCACACAACCAGCTGGCTCGTGTGCAGACTGTGATGTCTCCTGCCTGCTGTGTCGTGCACTGCACTGTGCAGGTGCTGCTGCTGAGCGACTGGCTGCTGGAGAGATTCCACGTGTCCATCGACCAGATCAAACAAAAGATCAGGCAGAGTCTCACAAGAAAGGTGCGCGAGGAAGGCCAGGGTGGCCACAACGACACCTGCCTGCACCTTTCCATGGCAGAGTCGGTCGTACTTCTCTGTCTGTGTACTGACGTGTAGAGCCGCAAAACGGAGGCAGATGTGCACAAGGAAGCAGAGGAGGTATGGTATGCTGCACCTCCTGAGTAGAGTAGATAGCGTGCGCAGACACGGATGTCTTGTCGACACACTCACTGGTTAGTTGGTTGGTTGGTCCATTCAGGAGCTGACGTCTTTGCGCAAGTGTCGCGTCACTCTGGTGCCGTGCCTCAGCCGACTGATATCCACCCATACCAGCCACTTCGATGCCACGGTAAGCAAGCTACTGACAACCTACACACACACACACACACACACACGTGTCCACGACCACTGCGCGACCCTCGGTTTGTTGCTCTCCTTATCTCAGGATTGCTTGAGTCGATGGGCGAGGGTGTTGCAAGCCCTGCTCGCCTCTGCGGATGAGTCCAGCTCCTACCAGGAGCTACTCAAGCTCGCCCTCCACCTCTTCAAACACTACACGGTGCGCAGAGAGAGAAGAAAAGACGATTCCGATGTATGACGGGGCAGAGGTGCTGTGTCCTCTGATGTGTTGGATGGATGGATGCAGCCTGACCGCCCCCACTGGTCGGCCCTGCTGCCGCTGGTAGTGTCCTTCCTCTCCTCCACCCAGCCCCAGCTCCGCAAAAGGGCCGCGCACATCATCCTGCTTGCCTCTGCACACCCAGCGCTCGGCCCGCACCTCCCCCAGTGCGTCCCCCAGCTTCTCGCCAACTCCATCCCACCCACCGCCACAGCCCAGCAACCAGAGAACGTCCACGAGGGCCCAAATGGCAGCGTGTCATCGTCTTCGGCCATGGAAAACGGCGAGATGACCGAGAGCAGGGAGAGCACCCCGGAGAAACCAAAGAGGGAGGGCAAAGAAGCCAGGATGGCGCGGGAGGCGTCCCAGGCCTGTTTGGTGGCGGTGTGCGTGCGGCATGTGGGCGGCGGCTTTGTTACCGATGAGCTGGCACGGGAGGCGACGGACTCTCTGCTGGGACAGGGTGTGTCGTCGGCCGCGCCATTCTACAACTTTGGGGGATGCTTTGCACATCCGTCGGAGGTGACGGACGACTTTTATCGGTTCCTTGTCGATGCCGTACAACAGGCCAGGGCACCGACCAAAGATGGAGAGCTGCAAATGATACCTCTCCCACGTCTCTGTGCGTGTCCTTGGGTACCCACAGGGCAATGTGTACGTGCTGGACCCCAACCACTCGCGGCTGCCCCGGCTGGTCAAGATATTCCGGGCCATCGTCGGCCGCCGGAAGCACTCCGCCCCAGACCTCGACGAGCGGCTGTCTTCCTTCTTCAACTCGCCAGCTGTGGCACCGATCGTTGCGCAGATCGGCGGGGAAAGAGGGGAGAGCTCTGCGTCGGCTGAGGTGCTGAGCACTATCGGCTAACCGAGTGGCGAGATGAGATGTGTCGATAGGACGAGCACTTGTATTTGTGTCAGTCAGTCAGTTAGTCAGTCAGTCAGACAGAGAGAGAGACCATAGCCAGGCTGTCTGACGGTGATCTGTGGCGAAAAGAGCCGGCCGGTGCGGACAGGCCATAGATACAGGCCATAGATACCATAGAGCAGTGGGAGCTGACCAACCCGGGCGACGAGCTGACACGTCGTTGGGTTTGTCATCTTCGACAAGTCTATGGAATCTGTGGCCTGCTGTGCGTTCTGTACATCTCTCCACGCCCTCTGTCTGTACAAGAATTGAGATGACTCGTGATGCATTGCAATGGAGTGTCATTCGCTGGCCTCTCATGCTCATGCATCCAATCAATCCATCGTATCCACACGCCTACCCCCTCCCCGTCAAAACAAGCATGCATAATCTCAAACAGCCAGCTTTCCCTGCCTCTCTGCGCAACGAGAGACGTCTGTGAGGAACCGAATGGTCAATGCGTTCCATTGCTTTCTGTCACAATGGAGCGCAGTCACCCTTCCGGTTTCCCACAAGCGTCGCTCATCGCAGGACTAGACAGGCAAAAGCGGACTCAACCAACCAACCGACCAATGAAGCAGTCAACCGACTCTCTCTACCCCCTCGCGGCTCCGCCCTCACAGCCCGATAACCGACACCTCTGCGCCCATCTTCTCCCTCACCAGCTGTACCGTCCGCGGGAATCTCTCGCCGACCTTCATCTTCTTGTTGCCTTGCGGCTGCTCGGTCGTCCACAGTGAGATTGTCGCCGCCACCTGCCCGCCCTTGATGTACAGGTGGGCGGCGAACTCGTCGCCCGCCTTGTCGCCGCTAAGGATGACGTAGCGGGCACTTGGACCCAACTGCACAGAGAAAGAGAGGGAGAGTGCCATGTGCGTGCGCAGAAGCCTTGTCTGGCTGTCTGAGCTCACCGTGTCGATGGTTTTGCAGCCGAAAATGGGCGCATCGCGCTTCATGAGTTCGATCACCTTGTCGTATCTGTTGCGATCCTCTCGCTTGCGCGGCTTCTTCTCGATGGCTTTGTGGACCCTCGCGTCTATCATGCTGCCAGGCAGAGAGAAAGCAGAGACGAACACATCAACACCACAAGGCCGTCAGAGGGAGCATTGGGTGTCCGTACTGCTCAATCATAAGAGATCGGAAACTCCCAGCACTACGTCCGTTCACTGCACCGACAAGACACCACACACAGACCCATAGGCGCGGCACGTCACACCCCCGCCCCATCAGCTCACATCGGCATGCAGGGTCATTGGCGTCGAAGTTGTCGCGGAATGGGTGGTTGGGTGGCAGCAGGTGGGGCGGCGGGGGCACGTTGTTGGGACCCGTGTGTGTGTCGGTGAAGACCGCCAACTCGAGGCCGGCGATGCGGTCCCGCTGCGTGATGGGGTCTCGCCGCAGGTCCGTCATGCTCCGGCCCATGTCATCCAACACACGACGACTAAACACCGAAAACTGACATAGCGCAACAAACACACAAGACAACGGCACATGAATCCAGCCAGCCCGTCGGTCCTCCCTCCGTCCCCATCCCATCTGCATACTTGGCGCAGAGCCTCAGGTCGGCTGCGATAGAGTGTCTTGTCCTGTGCGTTCATGACGTCCGCTGTCGTGAGGCTGAGCGGCAGGGCCGGGATGCGGTCGTAGTGATGAGCGAGCCGGAGGAGCGGCGCCGTGGCCTCCCACGACCCGCCATTCTCGATCATCCAATCGAGGCGCACGAGCGCTCCAAAGCCCGTCCCATGCCCGACCTGCCCAATTGACGAGATAGAACAGAATGGACCCATAGGCACACACAGTCATGCCATGGGCCAATCGGCATCCCATCGTCTCTGTTGCGTGCCCTGCCTGGTCATTGCAGTCGGCGACAGAGATGACGTCAGCGATGTGTTTCTCGCGCAGCTTCTCGTTGATCGTTGCCGCGGTGCCCTCCTTGGCGGAATCTCTGTACCTCCTGCACACAAGCCCCAAGCTGCAGCGGCATCTCAGCGTCAGAAACTGCAACACCTCTGAACCATCACGACACACAGGGAGAGCAGTGCGCCCCGGGTTAACCTTCCATTGCGTCGTCGCCCACCTGGGAAAAGTTCTGTAGCGACTTGGTAAGGCAGAATATCGGTCTCTACGTCTTCGGCCGATGCCGAGGCCGCGGCGATGGCAGAACGTTGCCGCTTGTTGGGCTCCATCAACACGAAAACACGCTTACGATTCTCACCTTCGACTTCCTGCGAGCTGATCGAAAGCTCCGACAGGGACTAAAAGTGTAGGTGCCATGGCAATGACGGCAATCAATTCAATAGATCCGGCCCTCAGCAGCAGAGAATATGCCTCCTCCCCGACCAAGCACGGCCCCTGGAGAAAGGGAGCCGTGTGTCGCGAAAGTCAAGAGAGAGACAGAACGGCTGCGGCAGGGGGAAGCTTTAATGCGGAGCCGTGTGTCGCAACAGCCCCCACTTTAAAACGGAGGGAGGCGACGAGCGGAGCCGCCAAGGTGCGCACGCCCCCGTGACGCCCTGAGACACGCCCCCCGCGTCACAACAAAGGAGGGGCGTCAGTCGATTTCTGGGAGCTGTTACGACACACGGCTCCAGAGAAAAAGTTTTCCAATTCCTGCAGCCGTTCTGTCTCTCTCTTGATAATGGACTGCTTCAACGGAAGCAAGAACAGCCGTGTGTCGCAACCTAATGATGATGCCAGTAAGCGCTTTTTGGGCGTTGAGAGCTCTTCGATGGCCTGACGACAGCCCCTTGAGCGCATAAAAGCGTCCCCCTCTCTCCTGCCCAAACGAGCTTGCGACACGCGGTTCCAACCTGGCGGTTCAAAATCTGAGCTGTACTCGATGCACGGCTCCAATATCCCCTGAATGTCCAGCCCTGCAGTCAGAAGGCCAGCCCTGCAGTCAGAAGGCCAGCCCTGCAGCGACAGAGCCAGCCCTGCAGTGAGTCAAAACCCTCCAGAAGCACTGAAGTGTCGTAGACCGTCTTTCCATCCGCCCACGTGTGCGTCGCTATGTACGCGTGTGTGATATGGAGCTTGGACGCTGGCTGACTGACTTGGTGTCTCTGTCTGTCCTCAATTCAATCAATCGCGTTAGTTCACACGTGCACACAATTTGTCGATATTACACATGAGCTAATTCACCAACCTACCTACCTTCCTACCTCTCTTGAAACACGCGGTATCATAGTATGTGGATGTCCAGCCGACACCACTGACTGGTGCATCAATCACTATTCACCCCACCCCTTTTGCCTTTTCTTCTCAAATCTCTCTCTCTACATCCGCTCGTCCGTTGGTTGGTTTTCGCTCGATGGCTCGAATGCGGTCTCGTCGATCGTCGTCCACCGATGACGACACCGCATTCGTGCCCTGCGGACAGAACCAGCCGAACGAACCAAGACGACATGTATCGCAGCACATCGAACACCCATGCTGCTTTCCCTCCTGTCTGTCTGTCCCACCGCTGTACAGTTACCCACCCTCTCAGAGGCGTTTGTGGATGCGATGCATGGCATCCATCTGAGCAGGGACACCAGCCGTGGCTCAACTCAAGCAGCCCAGAGCAATGAATGCGATTGCCAGCTGCCTAGAGCCACACACGCATCGCATCGCATCCATCTACAGGAAAGTATGCAACCTCCCATTCATGCCATCCACCAATGTCTGTCTGTCTGTCTACAGGCCCTTGTCATACACCACACTCCCACTCCCACTCCCTCCCCCTCCCCTCCCCCTCTCATTGGCGTATGCCGCCTGAAGTTCGCTCTCCAGCGACGCGACAGACATCCTGCCTTTCTCAGGAAACAGCGCAAGGGCGAAGGGCAGGGCGGCCCATAAAGCGGCAATGCACGACGCCATCTCGTACACAAAGGGGAAGAATTGCTGTGTCCGCAGGGCGGCAGGGAGGAAACGAAAGAGCACTCGGAAGACCGTCGGCACCACCACCACCGGCAGCGGCAGCATCACCCGCGAGATGCACACTTGCAGCAGGGCCCTCCTCGCCGCCCGCTTTGACCTCCCGAGCACCACTCCATCTTCAGTAGTCACAGCAATCCCTTTCAGCAGCTCCGTGACCCTCATCAGAAGCACATTGGCGATGTTGGCGCTTGCGACCGATATGAAGGGCACCAAGGCGCCCCGTATGATTGGCGGGAGGGGCAGGACGCGGGCAAAGACGATGCGGAAGTAGAGGGCGATGGACACGGCTGACGTGACGGCGGCGAGGTAACCCAGGATGACCACGGCGACCGCCGGCCTGCTGCTCTTGTTGGCGTTGCAGAAGTTGAACAGCGCATTGTACGTCTGATCGAGACGGACAAACATCGACGCACACACACGACAGCGGCCCGGCCCGGACAGGTGTGTTGTGTGTCCATGTGTCGGTGTGTGTGTGTGCTCTCTCCTCACCTGGTTGACCCATTGCCAGAAGATGGTGTTGAAGCGGGTTGGTGGTGAGAGGACCATGCCGGCCACAGTGGGGATGTTGACAGGCACAAACGTGCACAGACGGAACAGCAGTGGGAGGGGCAGGCCGGTCTGCGAGTGACAGTTAGCTGACACGACCAGCTGCGCCCTCCTCCTGGCCCCCTTGTCCGAGCTCTCATCCCTAGCCATCCGCTGCGCCTCTTGCAGTGCTGACGCATTCGCCCTCAGCAGCAGCGGGCTCATGGTCTGCATGTACTCCCACACACTGGCCAGGTAAGACGGCTGTGCTTCATCGTCATCAGCCGTCGACGCTGTTGCCGTCTTCGCGCTTGTTTCATGCTGATCTGACACCCTCAGATGGGCATCGTCACCACCATCCGCTTCATCCAGTGGGATCGGTGGCGGGGTGGAGAGGGTGCTGCTGGCGAGTCTGCTGACAGAGGACCGTCGCAGTGGTATCGTGCTGCTGACGTAAGGCAGGCGTGTGAATGCCTTGGCTGCTGGAACCACCATCAGTAAGGGAATCAAGATGGGCAAACAGAGTGATGTCAACATGGCGGCCTGCGACAGCTGCAGATCTCGGGCAGACGCTCGTCGTGCCTTTCCCAAATGGAGCTTGGAGCTTAGCTCGCAACATGAGCTCGCATCCCTTCTTGGCTTTTCCAACTCCCGTCATTCAGGGCTTTTCGACAACGTATAGGATGCGACGGATCTATCAGTCTGCACTGAGATCTGCCGCTTTCTTGGCGCGCGGCAGCCGGCGTCATGAACGTTTCGCCTCGGTTCGATGGCGGTCATCCATCGCCCGGCATTCATTCGACGCGCGTGATCGTGAGGCATTCGAGGGCTTCGAGTACGAGGAGTTCACTGCTGATGGTGCGGGCCACCCTGGGAGTGAGGATGCTGCCAGTGAGCCGTCTGCTGGTGCTGATGACTCATCGGCAGGGAGGCGGGAGCCTGACTTCACCATCAGAGATGGGGAGCTGACGGCACTCGACGTCAGTTCCTTGCCCAAGAGGCAGCTGCTGTACTGCATGGGCCGGTCGAGTGCGCTACGGCTGGATGGTGAGGGTCTGTGGAAAGGCTACCAGGACCGGCTGGCCGCCCTGCTTGATGAGATGACTTCAGAGGATGTGACCAAGGTGCTGCAGAACCTGGCGTATGCGAAGGCGCGGCTGAGGGTGGGTGTCGATAGTGATGTGCTGACGGCGTTGCTGCGTCACGTGGCGCGGCACATCAGGGACTACGACAACGAGGGGCTGACGCGGCTGCTGTACTCGTATGCCAAGGGCCAGTGGGACAGGCCCAAGTTCCTCGACTTCCTCGTCAGTGAAGGTACTAATATGAACACATGGTATGTGCCCGTCCTTTGTTCGCATTGCTTGGCTTGCTCTCTCTGCCCTTGGCTGTCTGCTGTGTGCCTCTTAGTTGTTGACCGGCTAAAGACCTTTGCTCCCCGTCAGCTGACGCGCCTTCTTGTCGCAGCGGCAAACCTGCCTGTAAGCCAGACACAGCAGGCAACTGCCGGGGCTTCCCTCATCCATTAATGCATTGCCAAGGTGTGTGCATCTGTCCGTGCAGTCCCCTGACGAGAGCTTTCTCACCGTCCTTGCCAAGAAGGTGGGTGCAGGGGGAGGCCAGCCCACCCACAGCACAACACAACACACTGTCAGTCAGTGTTGCCTGTGTGGGTCTGACTGGTGTACAGGCGATGGATGAGTTCTACACGCTGCCCGCTGAAGGTATTGGGGAGTTGATTCCCATCCTCGTGAGGCTCCACATGCACATGGAGCCATCCTACATACTCAAGGTCAATGCCGTGCTGAAGAAGCGGTAAGTGAGTGGGGGAGGGAGGGAGGGAGGGAGGAACGCGGGCGGGGCTGGGGGATCCGTGAGGAATCGATCCAAGATGCGATGCGTGTCGGTGCGTATCGTCAGTGTGTGTTGGTGGAGCAACCCTGCGCTAATTGTACAGGTAGGTCTGTGAAAGGAAGGCATACCGATGGCGTGAAAGCTGGCGTGTGGCGTGCATGCCTCTCTCCTCGTCTTTTATGTGTCAGGCTGTGTATCCCGCCGTCCTCAATGACATCTGCGCAACTGCCACACTGGTCGGTACCCACACCCGCACGCCACACACATGCTTCAAACAGATGCACTATCACCGCACTGATGCGATGTCTGCAGAAGCTGATCTTCAACCGGTTCCTGTCTCTCCGGGTGCCCCTCACATACCCCCCCGCACCAACAGGCGACCATTCTGCGGATGATGCCGCCTCTTCGGAGGAGCGGCGTATCGCATGGTCCGAGTATGGGCGTGAGGTCGCTCGCGTCAACGAGTACTTGGTGCCGCTCAAGATCATGGAGATGTGGCTGCGGCATGACAACCAAGAGGTAAGTGACTGCATCGCATCAGGTGTAGAGGGAGGGGAGGGGCGACGGCAGTTTTCATTCATGACGATCGGAGTCAGCATTTATTTCTTTGTCAGGCGCTGAGTCTGTTTTCGCCCCATACGCTTCATTTCCTGGAGCGCATCAGATCCAACACTGTACAGGTGAGGAGTGAGTGAGGTGGGCAGTGAGTATGGAGGAGGATGTGCAACAGATGGGTGGGTGGACGTGATGTGACGTGTGTGGATGGGATGGGATGGGATGGGATGGCGCCAGTATGTGGACAAGTTCAATGTGCCGGAGCAGCCATTTGTACTTCAAGAGCTCGCCAACGTCACCGAAACCCTCGGCTTCCATGTAGCTATGAGCACACACACAGACACACTCGTGACGTGACGTGCACTGCACAACGGGGGAGAGGGAGGGAGGGAAGCCTCTCAGGGTGCACTGACTGCACATCATGTCATATGTGTGTCAGTTCGTCCCGGCCATCTACGGACCCTATCTGCTCAAGCTGACCGATCCACGTGGTAAGTTAAGTAGACACTCACAAGGACAGACATGTTGATTGGCGAATTGACATTCTTTGAGTGAGAAACAGACAGACAGACACTGTGTGTGTCGTCTTGGCGCTTGTGCAGGTCGTCTTTTGGTCGAGTGGGACAGGAATTGGGAGCTCTATCCGCCTTACAGGGTGGGTGATTAACCGAAGGAATGAAGAGGGCACGGTGGACCCCCCGTGTGTGAGACGTCTGGATGGTGGTGGTCCCTTGTCTGTCTTTGTTACCTGGTTGGTTGGTTTTCTCCCGCAGCGCGAGTATCACCGTGACTTCACCATGCGCAAACACAGATACCTCACGGCCGAAGGTCAGCACGCCGCAACAGCATGGCGCCTTATATCACATGCATCAGTCAGTAGGTGTGTGTTGCGTCTGTGCGCACGCAGGTTGGACAGTGATCAAGGTGCCGCTGGATGCCTTCCGGGTGCTCGAAACACAAGACGAAAAGAACAGGTGTGCCATACTGCAGAGAGAGGATCAGATCAGATGCAGGGAAGGCAGACACCTCTCCTCTCTCTCCACTCGGCACTGCACTGCCACCCGTGACTGCACTGCAGGATGGTGGCGCGATTCCTGCTGCAATACGACCTGGCGCACATGAGGCTACCGGCAGCACACGAGGACACACACGCAGATGGTGCGAGTGGAGAGACCGGTCACTCGAGTGGTGACGGTTCGGTCACCGACCCGTCGGTGTTTGTGCTCGAGTGCACTGAGGGCTACGGGCAGGCAGCGAGGCCATGACATGATGCGTGAGGCATAGAATAGATGGGTGTACAGACAGAGATGGGACATGAGACAGACAGACATTGAGCTGATGGGTGGGATATATGTGGGACCGATTGTATCCTGCTGCCACTGAATGGGATGGGTGATGGGCTGGTCCATTGGCCTCGGTAGCCTGACTGACGCAATCCATCAATCACGGGTCGATTCGATCAAGTGGGTGTCCGATTCAATTTGCGTTTGGCCATCTTTGTGTGTAACCTGGATGGTGATCGCGGAGCATTGTTGAATCCAGTTGATCCAGTGCCCATGTGACGGCTTCTTGGTACTTGTTGCGCGCGGGCGACTTGAATGTTTGTGCACGAATCTATACAGCTCAGTGGCGTGTTCCTCAGCTGATGCTTGGATGGACTGACTTGGTCATAACATTACATGGCGTCAGTCACCGATGGTCCTCAACTATGTCACAATCGGCCGTCAATCGCACGCACCGCACCCACGGCCTCCCCTCACTCACACAGACAGCCGCACACCACACCACACCACAGCACGAGATGATACACTCACTGCCTGCCTCCTCCCCTTTCTGTCTGTGTGATGGACGCACAAGTCCTTTCTCGCTGACTGACGATACAAGGCAGGCAAGACGAAAAAGCTTAAAAAGATCTGATCTGGCCAGACAGACAACCGCCACGCCACACGTCCAGCCATCACGCTGCCACACGACCAGGGTACACACATGAACGAACCACACATCCCTTCATCAAATCAAAGCAGCAGCGGTCTGTTCCAGCATGACTCGTCCTCACAGGTCTGCAGGAGAGAGCGGGAGTCGTTGGGCTGTATGGGGCCGTTGGGGAGGGGCGGGGGAGGTGGGTTGCCGATGGGCGGGGCCGAGGGGATGTTGATCAGTGGCGTCAAGGACTTGTCCATGCCGTAGAGGAAAGTCGCGTTGGCCAGCGAGGCGTACGTCGCCATCTGCTGATACCTGCATGAAAGCAGCAGACCAAACAGACGGCCGGTACGTGCACTGCATAGCTACCGTGGTCTCTGTGTGTGTGTGTGTGTCGTGTTGTGTGCGTGTGTGGCTGACCTGACGATCTCTTCTGGCGTTGCCCCCAGCAGCTGTGCAGCCATAGCCAGAGTGTAGGCCTCCGTGTCAAGCTGACGCTGTACCGCCTCGGCCTGCACACACACAGACACACACACACACGACCATGGCTCCATGTGTGGATTGGATTGACCCACACACATCACATCAGCAAGCCCGGCCAGGCTGACCTTTGCCTTTTGTTTGAGGTATGTGGCGTTGGCGACTGCCCCCGCGTTGATGACGGTGACGTTTCTGGCGAACTCGGAACCAATCACCTTGGTCTGCGCACGGATGCGCGCCGCCTGCACACACAGAGACAGAGGGGGGCATCCATGGAGGAGGGAAAGATCGTTGTGCGTGTGTGGGCAGATAAGTACCTGCTGTTTGTTTTGTTCGGTCTGTATCTGCTGCTGGGCGACCTGCGTCTCGACAATCTTCTTCTCCCAATCGGCCGGCAAGTCGATGCGCAGGATCTGGAGCATCTCCACCTGACTCAGCCAAACCACACAGCCGGCACAATACACATACACATATATACATCCTCACACCATTCGCTGCGTGTTGGTGGCAATAGTTGTGTGCTCACGTGTGCGTGGAGGGATGTGAGCGTGGCATTGGCTCGCTCCAGCATGTCCCGGCCGATCCTGGCTCGCTCCAGCCACCAGCTCGTGGCGTTGTAACGAGACACAGTCTGAAAACACCCACCCCCATGTGGCTCTGTGTGTGTCCATGTTTGTGTGTCCTTCCCTCCCTCCCTCCCTCCCTCTGTGCGTGCACCCAACACACCTTGAGCAGGATATCTCTGGCATTTTGCATGAAGAGGCTCTCATACTGCACATTCGCCCTCGTGTACAGAGTCCCCACCTCATCCCTATATAACACGCACACACACAGACCCTCACATACGGAGACCGACACCTCACCACACGCAGCGTTTCTCCGCTGTGTGCCTGCCGACTCACTTGATCAGGCGGTATTGCAGGGCGACAGACAGGACGATCTGCAGCCCCTCGGGCGTCCTCGTCTTGAGCGGATCGAAATGCGCCGCACCGGGAATGTGATGATAGTCAGAGAACTCTATCGTTCTCAAAATTGCCGGGAAGGGGATGAACGAGTGGAACAGCCAGATGAAGTGCCGCCCGCCGTGATAGACGTGCCTCGTGTCGACGTTCTTGGTTATCGCATTGTAGACCAGGCCGTACTCGGTCGGTCGGACGGCGCCCAGCGAGAGCAGAATCAAGATCAAGACCACCACGAGGAAGCAGCAGCCGCCACCGATGAGCCACTTCCTGTTGCGGGATGTGCCCAGCACCCCGCCAACGCCGCCCCAGTTGGGCATCCAGTTGCGGGCATTGCCAGGGAGGAGGAACACCTGGTCAGGCCCGGCCGGCTGCCCATGCGCTTGTCGGTACTGGGCAGCACGCTCCTGACGGAGTGCTTCATCCTGCACACACACGCATCACAGCACATCAGACACCGGACGAGGGGAGGGGCATGAGTTGATGAGTCCCGGTACTTCATGTGATTGTGTGAGTTCGTACCATTTTGTGCTTGGATCGTCAGATCAGTGGTCCTAGCGTTGCGATACAGCCTTCGTCATGCATCCAGAGCCGGTTTCTTCATCGCCGGGTCTGCGAGCTTAGCTTTGCCTTTGGCGAGCTTTTGAGGAAGTGTCCGAAACTGGCAGATCCGTGATGCCTGTCACATTCTTTCGTCTGCTTCATTCATGCGCTCGTGCATTTGACAAGAATCCATCAGTCATTCGCCACGCTCGGCACTTTACCCGTGTGAGCCGTGTTCGCCACAATGCGGCTGGCATGGAGAGCGTGTCGGGGCTGGAGAAGCTGTTCTCTGAAGGCTTCGAAGGCGGCTCTTTCGATGGGAAAGTCGTCGCGCAGCATGGTGGGTGGGTGACCGACACGGATCTTCCCATTGCTGATGGATCTATCCATGTGTTGGTTGCCTCTGTCTGTGTTGCCGCCTCTGCTCGTGCAGGCAGCTTTGTCCGGGTGTCGGGCATCCAGGAGGCAAGAGTGGGCTCTGTCGTCCACTTCGAGCAGGGTGACTGTCATGACTGACTGACGAACGGGAATACCACGCACAGCACAAGACATTCGCATGACGTGACCTCTCGTTTGTCCTTTGGTTGCCTGCCATTCATTAAACAGGAGGCCGCGGTCTTGTGTGCGAGTTGGATGCGGCCTACTGCACAGTGGGTCTCCTGGACAGCCCCCCTGCCCCAGCGGACAACCCGCCATCGCAGTGTGTGTCTGTCGGGGTGGGGGAGGCATGCACATTGGGCGGCACTCTCAACGTCCTCCCCACGTATGAAAGAAGCAAGATCGATTCGTTCGAGCATCCGTGAGATGATTGATGCGTGTGTGGGGATGATGTGGCACCAGGCCTGTGGCTGGCGGCGTGTCTGTGAGCCCGCTCACATTGACGGCAGAGATGCCGAGAGAACAGGTCAGGTCGGTGTGCCGAGAGGAGAGGCTCAGAGACCAGATAGTTATTGCTGCATGGCATGCAGCCTGTCTTTTCTCTCTCTGTTGGCTGTGCTGTGTGCACTGCAGCCGGGTCCATCCCTCTTCTCTCTGGGTCGTTCGGCGTCTGTCTTTCCCATCGCCCGCACCACAGTGCCGTCATTCATTCGGACGGGCGTGATGGCCATCGATGTGCTCCACCCCATTGGTAGGCAGGCAGGCAGAGACAGAGCAAGGGAGAAGTCGACCCACAGTGACCCGGTGTGTGTGTGTGTGTGTGTGTGTGTATTCACGCAGCTGAGGGCCATCGTGTGGTTGTGGTCGGGCCATACGGCACTGGTATCTATCCATCGCACACACGAGAGAGACAGAGAGAGGGCCCGCCATGCATTATTCATTTCAACCAACCGTTTGTGGTCAGGGAAGAGTTCCCTGCTGCTGCCCCTGCTGGCCTCCCAGTCGCCCCCCGACCTCGTCGTACACACCCCCACCATCATATCCTCTTCTCCCAGTACCACCGTCAAGGCCCCCACCAGCCCGTGTGTGTTGGACATCCGATGTGACGGCAGCGTGGGTCTGTTTGCTCGGTACCTGAGTGTGCTGGTGGCAGTCCATGTGGCCAGGCGGGCCAGGGATGAGGGCAGGAAGGTCATGCTCATCGTCGATGACCTCACAGGTGGGATGGGCGGGTGAGAAATGCGGGCAGGGGTGGACGGACGGTGACCATTGTGTGTGTCTGGGTGGGGTGGCTGTGTGGATTGATTAGGTCACGGCGTGTTGACCCGTGAGCTCCAGGATGACGCCCAATGCCAGCTTCCACTCGTAAGCCCAACATATAATAAGGTCTTTACACACACGACTGTGGGCATGTGCCGTGTCTGTCTGTCTGTCTGTCTGTCTGTCTGCAGACCTCAACGTCTCTCTACTCGTCGTTGATGACCCACGCAGGTAAGACACACGTGTGGGTCATCAACACGCGTGTGTGTGCGTACCTATCGGTGTGTGATGTCAGGTCGTCGATCGGACAGCGAGCCGGGCAGCCTGACTGTGGTAGGCGTCATCGACACCGTCCCTGAGGGCCGAGACGCCGCATCGGTGCGGGCTCACACTGTCGCCAGCGAGTGTGCCGCCACACTAGGTAGGTGGGTCGGCGGGCGGCTATGACAAAGAAACTACCGTGTCTGTGGCTCTCTCTCTGTTTCCCCTGTCTGTTCAGCGCCCCAGTCCGACGTGTGCATCCACTTGGCGTCTGAGCCGACACGGAAAGGTCCGTCCGTCCGCAAACACACGGGCATATGCAGCTATGCTGCTGGTGTAGTGTGGTGTATCCATCTTCACAAACAGGTCTGTATCCGTCGTTGGATTTGGCCCATCTGCCGCTGGGACCGCCCCCTCCCTTCCAGCCCCCACTGCTGCGCCACCTCGCAAGGGACGTCAGGAGGAAAATGCACCAAGTGAGCTGAGCGAGAGGGAGGACATTCACCCGTCGACAGCCGAGCCACGGAAGAACCTACCTGTTGTGGCATGGCATCTATGTGTGTGTGCAGCGTCAGAGTGAGCACGATCGATTGGAGCTCCAGAAGGAGCTCAGGTGCGCGTGAGCAGGGAGGAGAGGGGTGGGTGATATATATGGCCGATGACTTGTTTGTCGATGTGTGTTGCAGGATTCACGTCGATTTCTGGGAGGAGGAGGAGCTGCAGTCGCTTGACGCCCTGCCATGGATCCTTGCGCAGAGGCACGACCGCCCCTTCAGGCTGGTGGAGATGGTCATCTTGATGCGGGCGGCCCTCCTCTACTTCTTCATCGGTTCCCACCCAACCTTCCGGTCCATCACCATGTTCCAGGAACAGCTCATACACCTCATCAAGTAACTCCCCCCCCCC